AGGCAGGGGGACAACTTTCAGGAGTTGGCTCTCTCCTTTCACTACGTGAGTTCCGGGAGTCAGACTCAAGTTGTCAGGCCTTGACGGCCTCTCTGAGCCACCTCACTGGCCCAAAGTTTGCTCGACTTTAGTAAAGAGGCTCATGCAGTATGACCGGAGCACTCCTGTGGCTTCACTGGCGGTTAACTGCTGCTAGCCTCAGGTCTGTGTGCCCCGCCCCCGCCCCATGCGGTGTAAAACTGTCTTTGCTGAGCAAGAGTGAGCCCTCTGCCTGTTACTGGCCATTTGGATACCATTTCAGTATCACAGCTCTCGTTCAGCTCCCATTGGACCCTGAGATTTCCCTAAGGAGCTATTGGCTTTTAAGGTTCCAGGGCATCAGTTCTGAGACTTTGTTCCTGAACCAGAACAGTGTCCCAGGCTTCAGAAATCAGATCGTGACTCCATGCAGCACGGGCTCGGTTCTAGCAGATCTCCCGGGAAGCCAGCAGAAGCAACTCACTTCCACAAGCTCCCAGGTTATGCTCGCTGAGGACCAACCCCCAACAGTGCTCTAGATGGCATGGCTGTCGATTCTTCCTGTTAGTCCGAGGGGAACGTCACCTGAAAAACCTACACACACAACCACCTGATGCCTGGTCATGCCTGCAGACATTAGCTAATGCCCTCTCTTCTAGGAAGGAGTTACTGGACATCTTCCTGGGCTTCGGGGGCAACCGTTTCAGCCACACCCCCACTCAGACTGTCTGGTACCCAGGTGGCCAAGAGAAACACGTGGTGATGAGAGGTGCCTTTTGACCTCACAAAAGCTCACCGGCTCTCGCCGGCAAGGTCAGTTCAGAGTCCCTCAAAGAACAGACAGACCTTTGAATGGAGATGAAAACTGTCATTTATTTCAGTTGGCTTTGGTTTGTCCTGTGATGGCATCAAAACAGAAATGAAACAGAAACATGTTTAGATGACTTGCCTTTAATTTCTAGAGACCGAATAACCTTATATATATGTCTAGAACATTTCTAAATATTCAAACAGACCTTACTATTGCCATTGTTGCATCTCCGTCTCTTCGAATACTAACCAGGACTACTAGTGAACATCACTTACTGGACTAAACATCATTACATTAATTGCAGACTTCTGAATACCAAGAGTCAAACAGCCACTACACCCCATGTGTCTTGCTTGTGCGTGGTTTTTGAGGTTCCGTTTTATAAAACAGGCTTTGTTCTGTTATCTAGTCTAGAAACCCGATACATATATATATGCATATATATATGTATGTATTTATATATAGACACGCACACACGTGACCCTAAGTGAGTGTGCCTATATATTAACATATGTAACTCCAGGGTGGCTTACTGTGACAGATCATGGAGGGTTCACTTTAAATCGTGACAGTGAAACCCTCAGAAACCTGAACTCTGCACACACCATGGCTGCCACCAGCCAGGAAAACTTAAGACCCGTGGCTACAGGAAGCGCAGCAGGTCCTAGGAAGCGTTGTGGCTGCTGATCCACTGATCAGAAGGTCCCCAAGACCTGACATTAGTGGTCAGAAGTAAACTGATTGGGGAGGGGGGCGGTTCTTGAAAGTGAAGCTTCTCAACGCACCCCGAGAATGTAACACGTGATTACGGGCGATGTCTGCAACCACCTTCGGGGTTTTCACGTCGATTTGAAAGGATTCCATGAAAGGCTCACTGCCCATAGGGGGGTTACCTTCTGTAAAGCAGAAGCCAATGAGACCGACACCCCCCAATTGAGAGTCCGCCATCCCAGGGAAAGCGGCACAGTGTAGACCCCGCCTGCCCAAGAGCAGTCCACACTAGCTCACACAGACGTAAATGGGAAGGGACACTTGCAGACCCTTCCTCAAGCCCACCTACCAGGGCCTCCCACTGAGAAAGGAAAGCTTTGTTTTCCCACATAAATGTCCTGTACTTTAGCCATATTTCTTTGTGTGTGGGGGAGTGGCAGGGTAGCCTCTCTGTTTTGCAATGTCACTTACACTGTGTACATGTGTTTTCTTATCCTTGCTAATTTCAAACTGTGCTATTTCAGTCAGGGGACTTCCGGGGAGAGTTAACGGGTCCTAGCTACGCCAAAGGAAGTGGAGAGCCAGCTGGCGGCGTCACAGGGCCACACGGTCTTCAAGTAAACAGAGTCCCTGATATAACTGGAAAGTGCACTTTCAAAGGCAACAGGAAAAAACCAAAAAAACAAAAAACAAGCTGCGTGCGACAGCCCACACAGCAAATGGGCTTTGGCCCTTAAGAGTCTTTTAAGGCACAAAACCTGGTAGACAGCTGTTGTCGACGGCCGGCACCTCAAAACCGGAACAGCTGGAACATTTAAATAAAACCACGGGCCACTTCGTTGGGACCCGAAATCGGTGAGTAAAGACGGAGGGAGACATCCAAAGACACCAGTATCTCATAACACGAAGGATTTGTTGCAGAGTGAAAACCAAGTGTGCTGTAGTGTGCAAAGTGCGGCCCCCTGAGGCGTGGGGGCGGGGGCCGGGCGCCTCCGGAGCAGGACTCCGTGTCTTGGTAGTCACAAGGCTGTTTCAAAAATCGTTAAGGCTGAGGGCTGTCCATTGGAGGCGTTTGCAGCCACAGGGCTGGTGAACGCTATATCTGGATAATTCCTTCTGAAGTACACCTGTGGGAAAGAGGCAAAGGGAGAAGGAACAGGAGTGAGATTTTCAAGTCTTCCTCTGGGAGGCCATGCCTTTCCCTGCCCAGGAAATCACAGCACCCAATGAGGTGCAATTAGAAGCCAAGGCGAGTCCTGACTCTGGGGACCATCAGCCCCGTTCAAACACCTCGGCGGGGCTGAACGCCGAACGACTTGTAGATCCACTTCAGGTCTGATCACTTTGATTCAGATACAGTTTATCACGCCATTAAATTGATAAGCAAAATCATTTTACTGGCTCAAAACCTGGAGATAAATTAAAAACAGGGGGACAAAGGGGCCAGGGGAATCCAGCATCTGCACTGAAGTTTCTCATTTTCGAGCACAAAATGAGCACAATGGATTTGGATGTTAATATCAGGTTGTAATCCCTATATATTACAAACTCTGATTGACAAGCATTGAAACGCTGGCGTCTATGTATGAAATATCTCGGCACTTAATTTGTGCAGCAAGGCAGCCACGGGGCCTATAGAAACGCGATCTGCGGATAGCGGACCACAATCATGAAAAGAGACGCAAATGCTGCAACAATGACCCCACCAAGCGACTTCTCTGGAATGGACGATGGTACAGAATAATAGGGCAGTTCTTTGCCGAGCCTTTGAATTCCTGAATTCTGCCAATTCCGAGGAAGAGATACAGGCTCTCTGATAAATGCGTAATCAGAACATAAAGGGAATGAAATGCTGTCAGGTCTCAGTGTTCCGCGATCATCGGTTTTTAGCGGCTGTATCATATCTGGGTTCCTTGACAGACGCGTATTACAAAATGAAATAATGTCAAGGCTTGTAAGCGCTTATCTCCAGATGTGTTTGGGTGAAAAGGGACTTCAAATGCAATTTCCTTTTTTCCCTTCAAAGGAGAATGTGAGAAGTTTTGTTTGAGTCTTTAAAGCAGAAAACGAAGTGACTCTGCGAGCTGACACGTGTCATCAGCGGTCCCGTGGTGCCAGAGACACTCTATAAAACCCCAGCTGTAAATGTATTCGTGGGTGCTGTCAACAAAGTTATCAGTGGGATAATGGACTTCACAGGCTACAGGGTCACCGAGACACCCCGCTTCCAGGCTAAGTATACCTCCCTTGGGCTGCCTTGTGAACATCTCCCAAAATACAACAACACAGAAGATTCAGTTTACAACAGGAATGTCACTTAAGACAGATCCTCCTGGAATGAACTCGAGCCTGTTTCCGTAACACGTGCTTTCAAAAACAGGACTTGTTCTTTTGGGTGTGTCTCTGTGTATTTACATTTAAATGTCATGCCATCTTCGCCTACCTACTCTTTAAATTTCCCAGCACCCACATGACTGTTCACAACTGTCGGTAACGCTAGTGCCAGGGGGATCTGACGCCCTCTTTGGGACCCCGTGGGTACTGCACACAGAGGGTGCACGCATACATGCAGAGAAAGCATTTATACACAGTCACTAAAATGGTATCGGTTTTCCAGTCAGGAATGCTTTGCTGAGAACTGTTTCAGGGGTGTAAAGTCCCTGGTTTGACCTTTCCTACCATGTTTGTTTTATTTTATCTGTCTGTCTACCTATCTATTTGTTTGTCATCCATCCATCCATCCATCTATCTATCTATCTATCTATCTATCTATCTATCTACTAACTATTTATTCTGAGACAGGGTTTCTCTGTGCAGCTTTGGCTTTCCTGGAACTCACTCTGTAGTCCAGGCTGGCCTTGAACTCACAGAGATCCGCCTGCCTCTGCCTCCCAAGGGCTGGGATTAAAGGTGTGCGCCACCACTGCCCAGCTTCTACCAGGTCTATAACACACTCTGGATAATGGTATGGTTGGGACTTGGCATCTCTTTTTAAATTTAACTTTTTAATTTTTATTTTTTGGGAGACAGGGTTCCAAGTATCTCAGGCTGGCCTTGAACTCTGAGCGTGTCTCCCCCCCCCTCCACCTCTAAATGCTGTGCTGGGATTATAGCATGTGCCGCCATGACCATAGCTGATAAAAACAGAAACAAAAAACAACAGTGCAGCCCTGGGGACTGAACCCAGGGATTTACACACGCTCTAGCTTCAGACTCCGAGCTACACACCATCTATTCACAGCACAGGCGATGGGACCAAAACATGGCTGCCATGCCTCCCCTCCACACTGGGGCTGCCTCACCTGTAAAAGGAGACAACTGAAACCTTACCTCATAGGAACTAATTAACGGCTACAAACTGCAGGCCGAAAACATTCCGAGTTAAGTGCTGGGTGTGTTAAGGAAGGCCCCGGAGAAGCAGCCCCTTAGTGCACCGAGAGCAGCCTTACAGGCTTGAAGATTCCCTCTTGTGACGGGATCTTTGCAGAATCCCAGAGGCGGTGTTGAAACAATGCTCACGGAGTTGCTGCGGTAATCTGGGAGGCAGCGCAGATGAGAGATGACGGGGAGCTTTTGGGGCCAGAGTTTAGTGGGGTCTCTTCCGCCTCAGTTCCTTCACGGGGCAAACGGTAACGATGGCCCACCAGAATGTTTACAAAGACAGAGACACTGCCTGCCACAAAGCTTGAGTCTGAGGTGACTTCCTCCCTCCCTCCCTGCCTCCCTTCCTCCTAGGTTGTTTTACAGATGCTCTCATTTGAAACCCTGCTCCATCCACAGCCATCCCGTACCTATATGATCTGGAAGGAAGAGAACACACTTTGTCCAGAAGCGAAAGGAGGTGACAGCAATCAGAAGAGTTTCACGCGATCTGTAAAACGCACCGACACGGGTGACGAGGGACACTCCACGCGCAGAGGACGACTGTGGGGAAACGTCTGCAATACGGCAGAAAAGAAGACGCGGCAGAACCCCCGGCCCCGCAGAGAGTGCGAGAGCCCCTGGAAAACGCGGCGCAGCAAGAGCCGCAGACGAAACCTAACTGACAGAGGTCGGCAGCGAAGAGGAAAAGGAGGAGAAACCTCAGGGTTACCAAAGGCAGCTTGGAGATGACTGTGGGTCACAGAAACAGGGCTGGGTGAGGAAGCGAAGCACGTGGGAATTAGTATCTCAAGAAGATCGGGGAGCAATATGCTTTATAGAACTGACAAAGGTACGCTTGAAGAGCACTGGTAGCACAGTGTAACAGAACTACTATAGATAAAACACACCCATGACTTCAATAAATGTAAATGGGCTACACCACCCATTTATCAAAAGGCTTGGATCCTAGCTCAGAGCAAAGCCCAACTCCGTGCACGGACAGAAGGCACACTCTGGATATATCAACGGCAAAGGCACACTCTGGATATATCAACGGCAAAGGCACACTCTGGATATATCAACGGCAAAGGCACACAGAGCAAATGAGGACAGGCTGGAGGGGACAAAGGCATGACCTTAGTTTTGAGCCAGCTAGAGTTAAAGGCAAAAAGCCTTAAATGGACACAGGAAAGTCGTCTGAGTTGTCATAAACACCCGCAAGTTGAGAATAATAGAAATACGCAGAATGGAAGTGACGGGAACTAGAGAGAGGGGCCTGTACTTACAGTCCTGGGCATTCATGTCTACACCGGTCAGAGGAGAAGAACTAATGTTCGGCAAAGACTCAGATGGTGTTACTAATAAAGCTTATCTAAGGAAAACTACTAGCTATAAGTCTTAAGAGAGCATTTGAGAACACTTAGGGAGATTTCCAGCGCACTGGGGCACATGAAAGAACGGGTAATTTCAAGTAAGCAGACATAGTACAGAAAGATTATCCACCACAAAACAATGGCGGTGGAAATGGGAAGTAAACTAAGAACAACCCTATTGCCAGCAGATGTTCCTCGTAAATAATTTCTGGGATAATAAGGAGATCAAAACCTGAACTGCAAAACACATGTATGACAAAGAGCTTTGATGAAAGCTGACTGTACAAATATTGAGGTATGGCTGAAGCAGTATTCATAGGAAAATTCACAGCCTTAAATATTTATATTACAAAATGAAAACGCAGACTTGCGTTCTCTTCCCGGGAGGATCACACGGCGACGAGTCTCTTCATTATATTTCCCAGAACCCTCCTAGACTCCTGGTCCCACCTATCTTGTTTCCCTATTGGCCAACAGTGCTTTATTTACATATACACAGAAGGACTTCCCATATCATTGTACTTATTACAGTACAGTTGTGACTATTATAATAGCATCTATATGAATAAGACTATAAGCAAATACATTCAGTAGTTAAAAAGCAATAGCAGAATAAGCCCAAGCCAGAAGGAACCGATAGAGTAGACACTGAGCAGCTAGCTGTACAGCAGAACTGAGTAACTAGCAAGTCAACTGGAGTTAAATGTCTGGGGTATTAAAAAGAGTGAGACGACTTTATGTAATGACATAAAGACACAAGACACACTATCAAATGGAAACACAACAGAACGTGTTCAGTGTATGTAAGGACAAATGGGAAGCAGAGGGAAGGGCGGTTCTCATTTGTGTCTGATAACTAGGAAGGGTGTAAAGGCAGGCGCACACACACCCTCACTTAGGCACACACCATGCCAGCAAAACTCTGCGCGGGAGGAGGAGCTGCAAGGCTGGACCCCAGAACGGCTGAGTGCGTTACTGTCCAGCTATTCAGATGACAGCAGTGGGGGGCAGGGGGATGGGGTGGGATGCGGAGGGGCGTGGCTCAGCCGGTAAAGTGCCTGCCGTGCAGCCTCGAGAACCGAGTTCAAGCCCCGGCACCGACGAAAAGAGCCGAGTGTGAGGGCACACACTGGTGGTTCTGGGCTGGTGGGGGTGAAGACAGAGAGACCCCTGGGGCTCACTGGGGCAAGCCTGACCTACACGGCAAATCTCCAGACAGCAGACTGTCTCAAAGGAGGTGGGCAGCGAGCACTCCACACAATGACACCGTGGTTGACTTCTGGCCTCCATGTGTGCACACTCATGCATCCACACACACACACATCCATGTGCACACGCTTACGGACGTGTCACAAGCACACACAAAATAAAAAGGTTTACTGTGTATAAACTTTTGAAATTCGTACACTCGGCACATACCGTCTGTCAGGCTGGTTATTAGAAACGGTCGCTAATTGCATCAGGCAGAAGAGGTTTGCCCTGAAGACTGCCTCAACTTCTGTTTTCGACTGCTAGAGACCCCTTGCGTTTGTAAGATGCCGCCATTCACTTCACAGCCCTGCATTGCTTACCATCGTGCCTGATACCCACAACAGGAAGTGTCCAGTCAGCAAGGCAGACCCTACCCGTATGGCAGATTGATGGGGGACGTCCTTCTGTGTACATGCTGTCCTATTGGTTGATTAATAAAGCACTGTTGGCCAATAGGGAAGCAAGATAGGTGGGACTAGGAGTTGAAGAGGATTCTGGGAAATGTAGTCAGGAGTGGGGAGTTGCCATATGATCCCGGGAGGACAGGGAGAAAGTCTGGTGCTCTCGGTAAGAGAAGACCTTATAAAAATATATATTAGTAATTATGGGTTAAAAATTAAGTCAGAGCTAGCCATCAAGAGGTGACCCCGTCTGCAAGTGTGGTTGCATCCTGAGTTGCTGGCGTTAAGGCGTCGAACTGTGCTTGTAAGACAAATGAAGTCACGGCACAGCTGAGCCCATCATGGAAGATGACCGTCTGTCATTCTCTCCCTGGGTGACGCAGGCCCCACTGAAGTGTTCCCACTTCCTCTGGTCCCACTGTGTGCTAAAAGCCCATTGTCATCATCACCATCATGGCTCCCTACCGGGACGGTCAGTCACTTGCTAGTTCTCTGCTCTGTTAAGTATCAGCAACGGCTAAAGGCACGTTAGCACACCCTTAGCACGGAGTATCCAATATCACAGCACTTTCATGCATACACACATTTGCCAGTGTAAAAAATTTATTTATGTGTCAATGTGTGTCTGTGTGAGTCTGCAGACCTGTGGCGGTGTCCACACAATTGTAGAAGCGGGACGCCTGGCTTGTTATGTGAGTCTGGGGACCCAAACTCTAGTCCTCAGGGCTGAGCAGCAAATGCTCTCAACTCCCGAGCCATCTCTCCAGGCCCTCCTTACAAGTTTGGTTTTTTTTTTTAATGGAAGTGGAATTCAGTAAAATAGTACAAGACACCGCCCCTTCCCCTCCCCTGTTCTGAGGTGCTGGGGACAGATCACACCTTGTGCGTTCTAGGCAGGTGCCCTGTCCCCCAACTACATCCCCAACTCTCCTAAAGAGCCAGGAGACGCCAGTGGTAGGCTATAGGCAGAACGGCTCACACAGGACTGGTGGGCCACTAGCACGTGCTTTCCTGTTCTGCAGTCTTTAGCAGGCACTTAAAATGTTACACAAACCCAAGTGATTTTATTCTGCCTATGGTGTTGAAAATCTGAGAAACACAGGAAAGAATGAAGGTCTGGAAACACACCTGGACTGTGGTGCCTAGAGTTGGAGAGTGACAACAGGCCGTGAAGGGACAGTCAGTCCTCGAAACGGAAGCACCCGGCCCAGTCCCCGAGGTGACACCGTACGGGTGTGCTGGGAAGCTCCCGCGCAACCTGGTTGTGTTTAAAGCTTTATCTACTCCCACCCGCTAGGCCGTGGGCTTACTATTTATACAAGCACATGGTATTCACACATAAAACGGTATAAACGGAGATGGGGCAGCAAGCAGTAATCGTATTCTTTACAGATTACAAAACCAAGAACAGAAGCAAACCTAGACGTCTCTCTGGCAGACCTTTCTAGAATAAACAACACTCCATTTTCGCCTTGCCCTCTCTGACGTCCTGGACAGACCCTAACTGCCTGCGTTGCTGGCGTGCTAAGCCTCAACACGAGAGAAATACAATGAGTCTGCAAACTCGTTTACTCCCTCTCGGGCACGCCTGCTTACACATGCGCGTGAGCACACACCCTCCCCTCCGTGGGGCTCCTGCCAAGGCCTGGTAGACCTGACTTCAACCCTGGACGTGTCGAAGCTTTGTCTTCCGAGGCTTATAATTGAAAAGGGCACACAGTGCTTTCTGCCAGACCTCTGGTGCCAAACGGCGAGGGGGAACTGGTGAGACCAACCGTAATTAAGGTCCCTGGGCGAACTCACCTGTTTTGCTGTCTCGGTGAGGGCAGCGGCTTCTCCCTTGCCCAGCTGCTGAACCATCTTGTAAAAGAGGCTCTCTGGGTTCTGCAGCAAAACATATGGCTCATCATATTCCTTCAGTCTTCCGGAATCCAGAACCTGAGGGTCAGCAGAAAGAAGCCCACTGAGACGCAGCGTCTTGCAGCAATATATTATAACGCAGACAATACTTCGGAAAGGGGTGTGGCCGGGGAGAATACAGACTATCTATTTGGGTGGTAGGCCTTCAAGGTACCTGAAAGGTTTGATTACCCTGAGCTACAAAGCAAACAAAGGCCTAACCTGACCTTTTATTATTATAATGTTATAGGAAAGTTAGAAAAATGAAAGTTCTAGACTGTTATTATGGGCTCTCAGTTGTCTGTTGCTCTTGATATCCTGCCAAGGCTCCTGGGGGGAGTTTGTTATTAGTTAGTGCTTCTCAGACATCGAGCTTCGGGGGGGTGTGCATATGCATACATGCAGAGCTAGGAAATCTATGGCCCGAAGAAAATCAACTTCCGTGTATCTAGAATGTGGGCCGTGTTAAAAAAAAAAAAAATCTAAACAGCAGTGGCCTGACAGCAAACCGCCAAGCTGGTTTGATGGAATCTGAGCAGCAGCCGGAGAAGAATGTGTTTCTAGGGTTTATTTAGGGCACTGGCAAGGTGGGCTGTGCACCAAAAGCCATCGCACGCAAGGCTAAGTCACGGCTGGCGGTGGTTTGTCACGGCCAACGCGAATGACGAGCCAGGAGAGCCGACGCTCGAGTAACTTCAACACCACTGCTGTGCACAGAAGAAATCTCCAGACATCCCACCGCCCCTCGGATAAGACGGGAGAAGCAATGAAGGGACAGAGCTCAGAGACCCCAACCGCACACAGCCCACGGGGGCAGCCCGGTCTCAACTGCACGGTATCCGCCGTCGGGGCTTTCCTGGCTTCCTCCTCTCTCGCCTTAGCTGCCTGCCCTGCAGCCATCTGATTGCCCATTAATTTACGCTGGACAAGGAAAGCTGGAGGGAGGCACTCCTCACCTTACATTTCTACTTATTAGCGGCTTTGGTTAACGGCTTCAGACAGAAGGGAGGGCTGGAGACGATTGGCCCAAATGAGGCACCCAGGGAAACAGCCCCGATGGTAAGTGGTACTTAGTTCTTCGTTCAGGTTGTGTTTAGAATAAACCCATCTTAAGAGGGTGTGCTGGAACTCTAAGCGGGGCATGGGCTGTTTTCCACATCTAGATACTGCAGTTAATTTGGCCCATGGTATTTAATCGGAAACATTTATTGAGTCTCCTAAAGGGCATTTTCCCCGTTAATCTTTTGTTTACTACTTGAATTGCTGCTAAGGGCAGCTTTCTCAAAAAAGAGTTCAGGAATAATTGAATCTGTCACATCCACATAATAATTAAAACGTCCTGTAATTTGGCATGCCAATTTAGGTGCCCCGAATGTGTAATTTTACTTAAGCATTGCATTACAGGGCGTAGCCACTCCTCCTGACGTTAACTGGGGGGGAGTCACAGTTTTGAAAGACGGATCTCCCCTATTGCTAGAGACTGAGTGAGTCAAATTACTTTATAAAACGATGAACTCTCTATTCTGCAAAAGCAAAAAAGCAAACTTACAATCACACTTCAGAGGTAGACACTGAGTTCTCCGACTGTATCGACTGCCTGCAATGTATAGACTTCTCTTTTGTCCCTGTCCTGCTTCCTACTGAATGCAGTCAAATGTAAGACAGGGAGCCTCCCCACACCACACTGTGTCTGAAACACCAGAAGGTCACCCAGACACACAGATCTCAAAACCCACCATCACTTGTGAAGGTCCAGCCAGAAAACACTCTCAGAAAGCAGGAGGATTAGTAACAGAAATACCACTGGAAAAAAAAAAATCGGCGCCTTCTCAGCATTAACAACTTAATAATGTCTACTTCAGTGTGTTGAGATGTTTAATGATTTAAAAATTATTTTTAAATGTGTCTGCACACGTCCCTGTGTGTTATGTCCGTGTGTGTCCATGCCCATCCATGTGTATGTATGTCTGTCCATGTCTGTGTCTGTGTGTGTCCATATATGCTTCTCTCCCCCCACCCCACTGACATGCAGGTACCTACAGAGGTCAGAGACGCTGAGAGCTGGAGTTACCAGTGGCTGTGAGCCACCTCACGCTGGTGCTGGGAACCAAACTTGGGTCCTCTAGAAGGGTGTATGCTGCTAACCACCGAGCTGCAGTCTCAGCCCCAGTCAGGCAGATTTTTAATTGGACAGAATTGTGAGAATTACTCGTTTTGCTGGGAGAGATTGAGTTCGGGGCCTCTTTCACGCAAAGCACACCCTTACTATGGAGAGATACGTCCCTGGCCCTGGAACCTATGAGCGTTTGCAAGATAACACTCCAGAATCATAAGCCACAACAGAGTTCTTAGATAAGGTTTTGCTATGCATGATCACGGGGCTAAGGTGTAGCGCTCTCTCTCTCTCTCTCTCTCTCTCTCTCTCTCTCTCTCTCTCTCTCTCTCTCTCTCTCTCTCTCTCTCTCTCTCTCTCTACACACACACACACACACATACAGTATTCTAAAAGCAGCCATGATAAACGCAACCCCAAACAGGTGATGAACTAAAAGGAGGGCATGGTATGCCCCGATATGTGTCACGTAGCAAAACTGTGGTCAGTGAGACCAGTGACAGTGACGTCTGCACAGGACATTTCTGTCTTGTCTTTAAAGGACAGAGTCAGGCCCGGAGAGACGGTTTGGTGGTCAATGGCACAAGCTGCTTTGGAGTCTAGTTGAATTCCCAGCACCCACACGGCAGCTCACAAACGTCTGGTCTGTAACTACAGCCGGGATGCAGCCACTGTCCTCTTCTGCCCTCCACAGGCACCAGGAAAACATGTGGCACATGGACATTCATGCAGGCAAAACACACACACACACACACACACACACACACACACACACACACATGAAATTAGTAAATAAATAAATTAAAAACAAACAAAACCAGGGCCCTTCTGCAGCCCAAGGTAGCCTCAGTCCTTGGCCTTTTTGTTGCAATGTCCTTCTGCCCTTACCTCTCCTGTGCTGGGATTACGTGTGTGAGCCATCACAGCCGGTGTGTATGGTCTGGTGTGTGTGTGTATGTGTGTGTGTGTCAAACTCAGGGCTTGGTGCATGCCGGGTAACAACTCGGACACCTGAGCTCCATTCTCAGTCTCGATCTTTGTACTTGAAAAGCAAAATAAAAACAGGCTCGACCACTTACAGCGCCGTCACCATCCGTTCCCCAAACGCACGAGACCGGTAAGTTGGCATCTCCCTTCTAGCTGCCCATCCCACAACAGCAGCGTTTGAGGAATGGAGGCCACGTGGAGATGAACAGGATGGCTAGCCGTGGGGCTCTGGATCTGAGGCGAACACTGACGTATGGAGAAGTTAAATGACTTGACCCTAGAGAGAGGCAGGCACCGCTGGAACTTAAGCCCACTTTGGTGTCTTTTGTAATGCACTTATTATCAGATGGGAAAAAATACAGCAAAAAAGAAGGTAAGACAACTACATCTCTAAGATACCTTTTCATTCAGGTAATATAACTTTACCTGATTAAAAAAAATATACACTTATATAAGCAGAAGCATGTCACCTGCCCATTCTCGATGGCCATCTTATCGTATTGAGGAATCAGGTTATGCCCCGTGTGCCTGATGTGGTCCCCAGTGAAGAAAAACCAACTTTTATTTCAATTAATTTTCATGATTAATAAGGAACGAGTAACGTACAGCCAAAAAATAATGGAAGACACTTCAGGCAACCTTAAGTCTGGGTATTTACTCGACACACTTTTATCGAAAAATCTCTGTATCCCTGTCACTAAGCTAGTTACTTGGGAACAGGAAAAGACAGGCCTCCAGACCGCCTTTACAGAGCCTGTTCTCAGAAAATGGCAAGAGGGATATTCAAGCAACCATCCCAAAAGATTAAAAACAACAAAGCAAAATAAAACAACAACAACACAAAACCACACACACACACACACACACACACACACACACACACACTGATGGGAGATGCCATTCTGCACAAAACCACACACACACTGATGGGAGATGCCATTCTGAAATCTGTCTCTTATTGATTGTTGAATAAAGCACTGTTGGCCAATAGGGAAGCAAGATAGGTGGGACTAGGAGTCGAGGAGGATTCTGGGAGAGAGAAACACAAGAAGTCGTCATGTAGCTGCCATAGAGGTAAGAAGTCCAGACCTTTTCTCCAGTAAGAGAAATACTTAGATTAACAATTATGGAGTAAATACTTAAGTCAGAGCTAGCCAGTAAGAAACAAGCAAGGCCAACAGCTTCATAATTAATACAGTGTCCTGTGTGTTCATTTGGGACTGATGCAGCTCTGGGACCAGGCTGGCGGGAAGGCTTCTTTCTACAACACACACACACAGGAAGACAAGGAGGCGGAAGCTGGCCGCACGGGGCTTCCCGAGGAGACTCTTAGCGAGGCCAGCACTGAGGAGTGCACTGGCCCAGCAGACAGATTCGAACCCACAACACGGGCACCGCCAGAGAGGCACAGCCACCCATCCCAAGGCAAGCTCGTCAGATTTCTCTAGTTCACTGTGGTGTCTGTCACCAACAGCTGGCGCTACCACCAGTGCCCAGTTCTCAGCGCACGGAGGGGGGGGGCCTGAAGACAGAAGTGTAAGGGACTCGAATCTCAGGGCACGAGTGGGCTACTTGCAGCCGAGGGGGGGGGAGAGAGAGAGAGAGAGAGAGAGAGAGAGAGAGAGAGAGAGAGAGAGAGAGAGAGAGAGAGAGAGAGAGAGAGAAGTGAGCTCCGGGAGCAGATGTAGCAGGACAGCGGGCTCAAAGGGTGGAGGGAGGACTCACAGGTCCGCATGCCTCAGATGGACAGCCTGCGGGCAAGGCCGTTTAAAAGGAAGGGAACGAAGACTCAAGGCACTGACTGTGTTAAATACCGGGAAGGATAAAGAATAAGGGGCAGGCTCTAGTGTCAAGTTGGGATGCACGTGGGACGGGGAGCCAGGGACAGGACTTTATAGACTTTGTATACTCAGCCACTGTATTCACAGTGCAATCAAGTGGTCTAGATGTTTCCAGAACAAACACACATAAAGCCGCTCTAAATGTTTTCTCTGGATAGAAAAAACAAAGTGAAGTTTCCGTTCTTTTCTCTTCGTGTGTTTTATAAGAGCAGTATCCTGACATGTTCTGCTTGGCACCCCCCCTCCCTTCTTGGACCCACGTAAACTGTAAACCCAGTCACACGCCAGCGCTTATGCGACCGCCTCGCCTCAACCCTAGATCTCTCCAGGAACGACCTCACGCGGCTCGCTGCCGTCTAGCAGGTTAAGGACAAATACATTACACTGGATGAGTCAGCCAGTTACATAAGCTTAGCAGAGGCGAGTTATCAGGCCTACATCTATCTCTGCAGAGTCCAGGCATTTGTCCCAGATGTGAAAACCAGATGGACCCATTTCAAAACAATTTAATCCACTTTATCCACAGGGCGTAGTCACTCCTTCCAGCGTTAAAGAAAGGGAAAAGATAATTGCAATTGTAAAATACAGGTCTCTCCCATGCAAAAGACTAAGGCAGTAAATAAAATCGCTTTATAAAATGATGACTTTTCTATTCTGCAAACTCAGCAAGTAAACCTTGGTCTTCACGCCTGGCCTCCCGTTCGCACATTTCTTCTAGAATCTGAGCCTCCATGTTAGCTGTTTGTACCCGGGGCACCTGACTTGAAACCGTAAACATATTTTTTTTGAAGGAACATCTTTTGTCTTGTTTTCTCTCTTTCCTTTCTCAATGCCCTAATTTTGACCAGCCAGGCTTACCAAAGAAAAACTCCACAAAAAACCCAGAACTGAACCAAAGTCCAGCTAGCCCGCGGCCGTCTGCTTTTCCCAGCTGGGTGTGTTACTGCAGCTACTAGTTATTTTATCTGGGAAAACAACTAAGAAGAAAGGAAAAGATTACAAGACCACAGCGTGGCCTGTCAACAGGCAGCTACAGCCTCTGAGCCTGAGGGTCTCTATAATTTAGTACCCCGCTTGCTGTCAGACACGGTGCCTCGCACAGGCAGTGGTGACAGCGGTGGACCCTTCAAGCATGTCTCTGTCTTGCCACCAGAGCTGTGGGGACAGTAGTGTACAAGGCCTGGAAACGGACACTGCTATTGGTTGAAAGAAAAGCAGATGTCAGGTACTCAGTTAATCCTAAAAAAACCGAGAGGGAAAAAAGTCGCATTTAACGTGGAGACAGTGTAGAACGTGGGGAGAAAGAGGCTCTCTAGTTTGTCTGCCTTGTTCCACTGTCTTGTGGCCGCTGAGCAAAAGAGTGTGTGATTAAATTAGCTGTCATTAAAGACTACAGCGTGCTCAGTGAAGTTAAGACCGAAAGAACGTCTTCGTAAAATAGAATTCTAAGCCTAACGCATTAACGGTGATTAATGAACCAAAACAGCTTAAAAATCCCTTTGGAGCGCCAACACGTAAACATAGTCATTAATTAGGTCACAGCTGTTTCCCAACAAGCCTTTTGTTTGACAGCAAACACAACCATACCCTTCCGCCTTTGTGGAGCAGTCACTGAAGCAATGAGACCTGATGACTGCACGCTAAGCACTGGTAATCACACACCTCATGGTGACATACTGTTGCTTATGGCTCTCACAGGTGTCGTCTCCCCGGCCACTCCCTGAGCCTGGCCCCTGACCTCTGGTGCATTAGGCTTGGCGTGGCCCTATCAGACTCATGTGTGAATGCTAGGTCCCTTGTTAGTGGAACTGTTTGGGAAGGATTAAGAGGTGCTGCCTTGTTGGATGAGATATGCTGCTGGGTGGGGGTGGGTAGGGGGAGGCACCAGGCCCAGTCTCTCCCCTGCTCCCCCTGCCTGCAGATCAGGCTGTAAAGCTCCCAGCTATGGCTCCAGCCCCACGCCTGTCTGCCTCCCACCACGATGATCCTGGACTAGCCCTCTAAAACTGTCTTGGCCGTGGCATATCTTCACGGCAACGGAACAGTAACTGGGACCTGTGAGTGTGTCTTTCATGTTTCAGAGTAACAGAACAGGAAGCGTGCTTTCTAGAGAAGAAGCAGGTATTTCTAAAGCAAAAGCTGCTTCAAACTTTGAGCAGGGGTGGTGTTAACTGGGAATCAGCAGAACTATTGTGTGTGGGGGGGTGTGGGTGTGGGCGGGTCTTCTGCTGCACAGCTGGCCATGGGTGAAGAGCTCTGTTTGGCTGCACGTCCCCAAAACTCCCAAAACTTTTATTTTAAAAAGTGTCTTCAGTATTTTGTTACAGTAACAGAAAGGTGTCAGGTGTCCTACTGAGCTGAAAGTTGAGGCATGATCAGACCAAGACAGAAGTTATAACCTGGGCGTACATAATCGCAATCCAAGGCCCCATCTTTGAAAGCAGAGGCTGCGTATCTTTTAGGCCCCCTGAGTTGGAAACCTGTGCTGTTCTTACAACCGACCACACCTCCATCTCCTGGTCCATCTCCTCTGATGCTGCTTTGAGGCTGTGGTCAGCCAACTCTACATTGAAGACCTGAGCACACTGGAGTTTTGAGCAGCAGCGGCCATGCCACAGGGATTCGCAAGGTGACACGCTCAAGGAGAGCCCTCTTCCAAGTCTAGCTCTCGCTGGTTCTCACCCAAGCATCTCAGAGCTCAGGTCTTCAGCTTGAAAACTAGCACAGAGTCCCCTCTGTTCTCGAGCCACATTTAATCCGTCAGTCCGGTCACGCTAGTTGCAACGTCTCCCGGACACACCCCCTCCTCTCTTCACGCTAGCATCCCAGTGTAAGCTGCCGACATTCAGGAGTGGGACAGCACACGGTTGTCAGGAAGACAGCGAACACACGCTGAAGGACAGGGAGGACACCACTGTGGCTTTGCCCACAGCAGAGAGAGGGATGGCGCGGTGGGGTGAGGCTAAGAAGGGAGGGGAGGCCTAGATTATAACCCTGCGGTGTCAAACCACGCTAAAGATTTAGACCTAGATAATGAGAGAAAAAACAGGCTCTGGAGATTTACCAGGAGACACTAGCAAGCAAAACACTCAACGCCGCGGACAATGACAGCAAAGCTCACTGGTGAAGGGGGTGCTTATGAACTAGGTGTTCACACCCGCGGGCCAAATAGTGACTGACAATTTTTAGAGGTGACCAGCTGGCATTTCTGCAAGAGTCTGTCCCTCCCTGCTGGCGGCAGGTGAGCTATGAAACAGAGCACGTCACGTGCCAAGGAACTACCTGGTCAAGCGTGGCCCTGGGCTGTGAAAGCCGGCTGAGGAAGCCACGGAGAACAAGCCAGTAAGCACCGTTCCTCCATGGCCTCTGCTTCAGTTTTGGCTTCAGCTCTCCACCCTCGGTCCCCCCCCCCTCCTCCCGATGAAGGACGACAAAGTGTAAGATGAAATAAACCCTTTATCTCATGCTGCTTTTTTTCATGGTGTTTAATAGAGTAACAGAAAGCAAGCTAGTACAACGCCCCAAACAATCACACTAGGCATTTTTTTTCACACTCTCAGCCTCCCTACCTCTCTACATACGGGTGCTGGGAACCGAGGTTAGAATACTCCGCAAAGTCACCAGCACAATGCTCGTAACTTCTGAGCCATTTCCCCAGCCCCGGAAAGATTAGTGTCTGACCAAGGGAAGCCAAAAGCAAGGCGAAATGCACAAAAGGACACTGTCCTAGCACTCGCTGACTATGTTTGGGACATTTTCGTTGGGGCATAATTCACCATAAAGTGGTCCCGAGAATACACTGCAGCAGAGACGTATACAAAGGAGCACTCCAGGGCAGATGTCTACCAACAGTGAAGCATAGAGCACATGAAGGAGGACACAAAGACAGACGGTCTCTGCAGACACCAAGCACAGAAGTAGATAAGGAAGTACACGAGGGTAGACTGTCTAGTAAGCCTGAGTGTACACTTAAAACACTTGAGGTTCTGTTGGAAACACGAGAAAAACCAACCATGGGTTAGCTTGCTCCTATCAGCTTGTTCAAGGAAGGAAAGTCGGAGCACCCATGGCGGCCACTGGGGAGGACTCTGTGGCGGCCACTGGGAGGACTCTGTGGCGGCCACTGGGAGGACTATGTGGCGGCCACTGGGGAGGACTCTATGGCGGCCACTGGGGAGCACCCATGGCGGCCACTGGAGAGGACTCACCATTATCCTGTCGCTGTCAATGATGGTGTTCAGTCTGTGCGCAATTGTGAGCACCGTACACTGGGCGAACTTCTCCCGGATCTTCTGTTGTATTAACTCATCAGTTCTGGAGTCAGCAAAGAGGGGAAAAGACTTAAAACACCAAAGTTCACATGACCCTTAACCATGTTTTTAAAACTCTTTACTGCTATTAATTATTATTATACTTAAAATTTAGACAGCTCAGGCTGGCTTTGAGCTCACTACATCCCTCGGGTGGCTTTGAAACCCGGAGCCTTCGTGAAGCTTCCGCGTGCAAGGATTACCGCCATGCACAGCCACAGCTATCAGCTACACACCATACCCTCTTAAAACAAACAAACAAACAAAGAAACCCTAAAGTCTAAAACGTCAACTTAGAAAGAACGCAAATGTCTTTCTCTCCGAATTGCTTGGAACAGAGCTGGAGCTGAGGGTTCTGATTTACTCTAGAGGCCTGGGACACAAGCTGAGCATCCCTCTCTGAAAGGCGCGAGTCTAAAGAGGCGTGGGCCCTGTACTCCGGCAAGTTTGCACGCACACGATCACAGACGCACAGCACAGGCAGAGGACGATTTTAACAGCATGTAAACAACTCTGTGCACAAAACCTCAGAGCATCACCCATCTGAAGGGCTGACACATGCAGATGCTTTCCTGGGCGTCATTAAACCCTCCCCCGGGGCCATGTTTAGCGCTCAGACTCTACCGTGGGTCCACGTTGGCTGTTGCCTCATCGATGATCAATATCCGGTTCTTCTTTAGAATCGCCCTCGCAAGGCACACTAGTTGTCTCTGTCCAACACTAAAATTGGATCCGGATTCCGCTAGCTCAGTATCCATTTTGCCAGGGAGGTCTTCAACGGCCTCTTTAAGCTGCACCTACAGATGCAGACGGAAGAGCGGTACTCTCATAAGTTAAGCCGTTAAGCAAGTGGCTTCAACCCCAGGACTCTGAAGAACTTCTTCACAGACATCTCACGGTGATGACAGCCACCACTGATGCGCGTTGTGCTGGTTCTGCGTCATGAGTTAGCACTGGGTGGTGCATGGGAAACTGCTCCCCAGGTAAAATACAGCCAGCCAGAGAACATACGTTTAGAGATTTAATTCTACTTTCTACTTTCAAATTGTGTGTGTCTGTGTGTGTGTCCCCGTGTTTGCCTGTATGTACGTGTCTCTGTGTCTGAACATATGTGTGTGTGTCCCTGTGTGTATAGACCTAAGTGTGTGTTTGTGTCTGTGTGTATATCTGTGTGTGTCTGTGTGTGTGTGTCTCTGTGTCTGTGTGTCTATGTGTCTGTATATCTGTGTGTGTCCCTGTGTTTGCCTGTATGTACGTGTGTCTCTGTGTCTGTACATGTGTGTGTGTCCCTGTGTGTGTAGACCCAAGTGTGTGTTTGTGTCTGTGTGTGTATATCTGTGTGTGTCCCTGTGTGTGTATATGTGTTTGTGTGTGTCTATGTATATTTGTGTCTGTGTGTATATCTGTGTGTCTGTGTGCGTTTGTGTCTGTGTGTATATCTGTGCGTCCCTGTGTGTTTGTGTCTGTGTATGTGTGTCTGTGTGTGTTTGTGTCTGTGTGTATATCTGTGTGTCCCTGTGTGTGTATGTGTCTATGTATGTGTATGTTTGTGACTCTGTGTATATTTGTGTGTCTGTGTGCATGTGTGTCTGTGTACAGTTATGTGCATGTGAATGCAGGTCCCTGTGGAGGCCTAAAGAGGCATCAGATCCTGGCTGTAGTTCCAGGTGATTGTGAGCCGTCTGCTGTGGAAAAGAACCTGAGTTCTCCGCAACAGCAGCCAGCACTCTCAACTGATGACCCATCTCTGCAAGTCAAGGAACGTCCTTCCTTACTGGTTACATCAGAGAAAGCTGCAGAAGTTTACAGAGTAAAGATTGCACAGCCGTGGCGGGTTAACCGTAACCAGTCGATGGAACACTCCAAATCCTGACCTCTGTGATCACCCATAACTCCACAGATGTATCAAAATCACCAAGCCACACTTCTCCAGGGACCGCTTCCGGTTACATAAATTGTACCTCAATGAAACTGGTACATTTCAGAGCCACCTGCCCCCAGTCACCCTAACTTCCTTCCCGCCACAGACACCCACTAAGAACCTTTCTCCAGAAATCACGGAGTCTCTCAGAAACTGAGCTCTTCTCACGTATGACACGTATTATAGAAAAGGCAAAACAGGACCACTGTGGTCAAGCTCCCCAAGAGACGTTCTGCATAGGAGCTATTACAGGAAGCACAGCCCCTGAAGAAATTATACTGTAGGTAGGACTACCGTGTTGCAACATTTTAAGTAACCAGAAAAGTTTTAGGAAGCTCAAACAGGTGGGAACTACCGCTTCAGCATCAGGAACCCTGGAGCGTGTTCCTTGCCAAGCCCGGTCTCTGATCACTAAAGCTATCAAGGGCATTTACTTCAGCCATATAGACGTTCTACAGAGAATGACAACCCACAGGAAGGAGGACACAACGTAACATCATTTTGTCCCACCTATGACATACTTCTAGGAGTCGATCTTTGAAACACTTGATTAGGAAGACGTCAGACTGCATCACTGGGTTATGGTTTGGTCCTCTGAGGAAATTTTATAGCACGAAGACCAAATCTGGGCTATCCCCGAGAGCTTCAGAACAAAGGGTGGGTACACTTCGTTAAGAGAGCTACAGACTGATGAGTAGGCTATGGGGCTCGAACGCGGGTCTTCATGCTTGCAAGGCAGCTGCGCTATCTCCCTAGCCCAGGTTTTAAATATGTATAAAGTAAAAGCCTGGGTTTAAGCTCCACCTGGTTCTGCCAATGACAAATTCCTGACTTTTCCTGTCTCAGCTTTCGAGCCTGCAAATGAAACAGTGTTACCACATCCAAGAAACAGTGTTACCACATCCAAGATGTCTATCTCCAAACGCCGTTTGCAGGGATATAAAATGAGTCAGTACGCATAAGTATCCACAGCAGTGCTCGCTACAAAGAGATCAATCGGTGTTACCTATTACTAACAGTGCCGTCATCCGGCTCTCTTCATGTTGTGCTTTTTATTTCATTTATTAGTCTTCATTTTATATGCATAACCATTTGCTGATGTCCTAACTTCTCCACAAGAATTTCAGCCCCGGGTGGGAGTGTTTTGTCTATCTGGAATGATTGCTGTAATGGCTTAAGAATCTACAATGCCTACATAATAAGCTCTCAATAAGAAACTGTTCGATGACGGAAGCCACAAGAATGTCTCACCCATATCTGTTTCTACAAGTTAGAGAATAAATTCATATGAATATACACTTTATATAGAATACAATCATATTAAATGGCATTGTAAAAGAAGCACATGGCTTGTAAAAATTAATTGGCCTCAGGATACCATAATAGTCATACCTGAAGTATGAAAAACACTTAAAAATTCAGGAAAAAATGATCCAATTATACTATTCTAAACTATTGATCTCAGCACAGAACGAGGAGAGATGGGCTGTGTGTGAGGAAAGTGCTGGGTGACACACTTCCCGACGGGGGCTCACTGATGGCATTCAGATGCCTTCGCTGTGGTCTCCTGCACGAGGAGGACCACACTGCATCCTGACAGATGCCATCCATGGGGGTCACCTAACTAACTGAGTCTCACACCCGCAGACACACGCCATGCTCCAGGCGTCCATGTTGGTTTACAACAGAAATAACACGCCATCGATTCACAGGCAGTTTTAACTGCTGTGGTCAAATGACAGGTCCCATCTTCAGTTACTACCTCTGTCTTTGATAGAGCTGCCGCTGCTTCCTGGGTGCTCCAACAGGTACTAAGGTAGCAATGTTTCTTCTGTTATTAGCTTACTATTTGGAGGCAACTTTCAGTATATCCAGAAATTTAAAAAAACAAAATGAACAGTACTCACAGGACATTCTCTCTCTTCTCAATGCCAAACCCTTTTTTTTTTTTTGGTTGTTGTTGTTCTTGTTTTTTTTTTTGTTTGTTTGTTTGTTTTTGGTCTCTGGTATTAGTAAGAAATGAGAGGGCTTTTCTTTCTACTCTAAGTTGTTAAAAAGACAGACGTGGCGGTGTTCTCTGAAGGACCCTCAAACGAACCCCATGGGCTTGGGTTCCCATTGGCATAAACGTCATTAATAAAAGGGCTTGGGTTGGCCCCTTCCTCCTCCTCCTCCTCCTCCTCCTCCTCCTCTCTCTCTCTCTCTCTCTCTCTCTCTCTCTCTCTCTCTCTCTCTCTCTCTCTCCTTACACAGTTTGTCATTAAGCCTGTGGCCCCATAGTCAAGTTTTAGTTTACTTTAAAAAGAACAGCCAAGGCCATCAGGTTTCCCATCATACATGGCGGCAGAATTTGCTCTGGTTTCGATATAATGTAAAGGAAAAGACACAGAGACAACAGACAGAATACAACATAGAGACCAGGGGAACCTGCGTGGCCACATGGCACCTCCCCAGGTAAACACACAGCATCTCATTCCCAGGGGGAATGGGATCCACTGCCAGAAAGACCTGAGGTTCCAAGTGTCCCAGACTGGGACTTTCTGCAGACTGGGACTTCCCGACCTCTCAGAAGAACCCATGCTACACACTTGTGGTCATACAACTCCAACTGCTGCCAGGAAAACCTCACAGCACTTCCTCTTCTGAGAACACATGGCCTTCTCAGCATCCAGAAGAAAAGAGAGTCTGAACGCATTAGAGGAAGTCAAAGTTCTCAGAAAAGAAGTAATTAAAAGAGAGGAAGAGAGACGGGAAACAAACAAACCCTCCAAGGCCTCACTTGCTGTCTGATATGACCCCTACACAAGCAAGGAGAATAGTGTGGTGATAAGACTTCCCAGGTCACGTGACTCAGCACACATGTGTAACTAGGGAGATGGCGCGGTCAGTTAAGGGCCTGCTGTAAGCACGAGAACCTGTCATTGAGTCCCCAACCCCACATACAAAAGGGAGGGCCTGGTGACGTTGGCCTGCAATCATGGCTCTGTGGAAGTGGACACAGGAGGACCCCCAGGCCCTGCTGGTCGGCGAGTCAGCCTAACCCGGGATTCAGTGAGAGGCTAGCTCAAAAAAATTAAGGCAGTTAGCGCATGAGGGAGTCATCTTCACATTATCCTCTGGCCTCCACAACGACGTACACACAAGTGCATGGGCATTCTCCCACACAGCATAGGAACACAGAGACAGAGAGAGAGAGGGAGGGAGGGAGGGAGAGAGAGGAGGAGGCCACAGGAATTATGTTATAAATACAATAATGGTTCTAATTTTTAGAAAATACCCAACTCTGCTTCTCAAAAACATAAGCAAGGGAAAGCATTGCTAGCAAAACCACGGCAGGGTAATGCTATGCTCCCACAAAGCACGGCCGGGGCATGAGGGCAGCGCAGAAGCGGTGTGCAGACACACACTACTCTGGGACACAGGGACACAGGACACAGGGACACAGGGATACAGGTCTCGCTGGGACATAGGGACACAGGGACACAGGTCTCGCTGGGACACAGGGACACAGGCCTCGCTGGGACATAGGGACACAGGGACACAGGTCTCGCTGGGACACAGGGACACAGGCCTCGCTGGGACATAGGGACACAGGGACACAGGCCTTGCTGGGACACAGGGACATAGGCCTCGCTGGGACACAGGGACACAGGGACACAGGTCTCGCTGGGACACAGGGACACAGGCCTCGCTGGGACACAGGGACACAGGTCTCTCTGTGTCCTTTTCTCACGCCCACTGACAGCGGCTTCCGGAGGAGTGCAAGGACAGAACCGGCAGACGCTTTTGCCACCTCACTTTTCAACTTGGGAGATGCCACTAAAATCCTGTCTATAACAGATGAAAACACGTGTGAAGACAGCCAAGGCTGAAGACGCCTTGCGATGGGACCGGCTCTCGATGAACACCTCTCCACTGCTCACAGAGCAAAGTGTTTCTAAGGTGATTTTACAATCTGAGAATCTCTGCGGAGAAAGTCAAGCTCTGGAGCGAGGAGAAGTGGTTTACTGGTAACTCCTGTTTTCTCAGGGCGTGTCGCCGCCTTGCTGTTGCTCTGTCCTGTCTTTCCGTCCTCTGTGATGTTTCACGTGTGACTGCTCTCTCCCTACGTCTTCTCTCCTACCGTGTTCCTACACCAAAGTCTCGAGGACTCCGGCGCAACCAAAGGCCAGCCGCCACCCGAGTCGGGGTTGGTGAGGTAGCCAGCCCAAGGCAGGAGAGCAGGGTGGGGTGTGTCCTGACTCCGCACTGACGCGCCTGCAGAAGGATTACCGGCAGGAAGCTGTCAGACCTCCAAACTGGTGTGCTTGCAGCCAGACCCTTTAAGGATCCCAGAGCTCACCTGAAAGGGCAGCAGGGACAAATGGGCCGCCTCAAAACAAACAGTGGTAATGACAGTGGGGAAACTGATCCCTGAGGTTTGGGGTGGTTAAGGAATAAACCATGCTTCTCCGAAATGGAGAGATCAGCCAGCCACCCCGTATTTATTAAGTGCTTATGTTTTAAAAGTAAAAGACTGGGCCAGGTCCTAGGAGGGATTACGGTCTAAGATACGATTCCCAGTATTAAGTGGCTTACAATTAATTTGCAGAACTAGTGTGAACTTGTGAAACAATTATCTCCAAACACATAAACCTTCAGAAGCACCTTAATGGTCAAAATCCTCGCCCGTGTGGGAAAGGAATCCCCAGGAAGCATTCCACGGGGACACACCACACAAACAACGAGAAAACCCTCCAAGATTAAAGGTATCAGTCTGCTAACCGGGCCAAGGCTCCAGGAGTCTGTTAGACGTCACAATGACAGGTTTGTCAATAAGTATCACTTCCAGAGTTGGTGTAATTTGCCCTTGTAAACACTTTCTTCCGACACTCCAAAGAAAGCACAGTGCAAGTATGATCTCACTTTTCGCTCAGTCAATAATAAAAACAAATGCCTCATTTTCCTAGGAGTTCCCTCCAACGTAGGACGGTGAGACAAACAGCTGTCGCAGGATGCGACCTTCGGGGGTGGAACCGCCCACCTTCATCATCTCAGTGGTGCCTACTTATAAGGGTCAATAGTGACAGAGTGGACTGGTGACATTCCCCCACAGAAGGTCCCTGGACCCTCACTTAGAGTTCCAGTCACTCCTTCTGTACATCTGTATGCGATTCTGCCCTGACCGCCCATGGCCTTGGGGCTCTCGGGGAAGAGCTACAGTATACAGGCTGGGAAAGGTTATTGGAAGGGGGACCTCCCTCTACGAAGTCACAGGGAAGCCATCCGCATCAGAGGCTGACGGTCCAAAGTGGCTGCTGTGGGGTCACCTGTAGCCCCTCACCCACGCTGTCAGTAAACCTAACAGAGCCGAGGGCTCCCCAGGCGGATCTTTGGTGGAACTGAACTTTGTTTTGGTCTTGGAACCTTAAGAGGCGCTGAGTGGGTAGACATTGTTTATGTGCCTGCCCCTGGGGAGAATTCTCACAACATGTAGTCATTTAGTCACTAGGAGGATTTGAGATCTGCAAAGGCAAGTCGGATACTGTATTGGCTGAGCCTGGTGTTGGGAAATTAAAAAAGTAACACGAGGTGTATTATTCTGGATCACCACCACCACCATTACACGTATTTGACACCCATCCGTATCGCCGATACTCCCCAGGTTGTCAAATAAAGGTACCTCAAGCAGTAGGCTCCCCCACGCAGCTCCCCGGAAATGCTCTGAACATATGCAGGTACACAGTTGCTAGTGATGAGAAAACCACATTAAGAAGTTACCTCTTCCAAGGCGTTCCACAGCTCCTCATCCGTGTGCTCATTGAAGGGGTCCAGGTTTTTCCGCATTGTTCCAGTGAACAGAACAGGTTCCTAGGAGCCCAAGAGAGTGAGTGGCACCTCCGCATGTGACTTTCACAGCAGAATAGAAAGGCAAACAAATGCCCCCGAATCCACTACAATCATTAATTTCATGGTCCCACCCACTTGTGTGCAAGATGTCATCTCTATTATAATTTCCCATCATACTAAATGCGACCCAAAATATCTCCCTAGACATAAAGAAACCATGGCAGTGTGCCATCTGAGGCACGAAGTGAGGGGAAGGGGAGTTCCTGCTGTGAAAAAAACAATTTCCTGGAAATAAACCCAGATATATTTATTTGAGTAACATGACACCAGACCAACTATAAAAAATTACTGGCCAAATCCTGACACCACCACTGCCTGGCTTCTACAGCTAACTACTATGGCTTGCTTTGCTATCTTGGTCTCCAGTGGCTTTAGGGAATCATAAACAATATATCGCCACACTGACAGGCTTCTGGAAGACGAGCAAAAGCATGATTAGTCGAAGTTCGAGCTGGAGGTGAAAACTGTTCAGAGTTTTCCCCTTGGATGAAGAGTCTCCCTTCCGGGACTGGAATCTCTCTGAACACCCAGCTGGGACACATTCTACTCTATGGTCACAGAGGATGTCAACTAATAGGCCAGTGTCACCTCTGTTCATGGAAACGGCCTCTGTTGTCACGTTTGAGTCCCCACATAACTTGTCTGTGGGTCAGGGGAACCTCATTACTGACTATGAGGACAAGGCCTCCTGAAACTCACTGTGAAGCAAGTATGGTAACACGTTCTTCTGCTCCAGGAGGGGCCCACCAGTAAATTACTTGAATCACACATTGCCTTCTTGATTTAAGGAAGCATCTTAGGAAGGCTGTGCGGATTTCCTTCTGGAAGGTTCTAATGATCTAACAACCCAGACATAGGAGAAGAGCCCAACTGACTATTTTCATGAAGGGCACAGATAATGGAAATTGAGAAGTCATGGATGGTCTTCCATGGGTCCGAGAAGTGTGAGATGTTGCCTAGCCTTGGGGCAGGGACTTTAACATGTCAAAGACGGAGGAGGAGGAGGAGGAGGAGGAGGAGGAGGAGGAGGAGGAGGAGGAGGAGGAAGACTTTCTCCAAAGACTGATACTGTCATTTGCCTCTTAATTTTAGACTGATGACAGAAACATATGGATGTAGCAGGCCAGTGGTGTTCCACTTCCAAATAGATACCCCTCAGCAAGACCCCAAGCTGAACGACCCTGTCACCGTATGTCACCTGTGCCACAAGAAATTTGAAAATGGCTACTGAGGTGAACTGAGGGAGCACAAAAGGCTAATCTAAGGCTATGCTTACAGAATTTAAGGACTAAACAGCTATCTACATATGGTAGAAATTTCTTACGGGAATAAACGTCATTCTACTGACTTGAGATTTAAAGTGCACACACACACACACACACACACACACACACACACTCAGAGATCCCAGGAGAACAGGTGACTTCTCTTGCCTGCTTACATGAGGGCTCACATCCACCCTTACCAACTGCCCCCACCAGTCATCCTTCCTCTCTCTCATGCTCTCCCGACCTCCCCACAAGGCCCCAACACCATGGCTGATATGACACTAGGGGCCCAACTGAGCGGCTCTGGGACGAGTATGAGGTACTACATGGTCAGGAGTCGGCTCTGAGCAGTGAGAGATAGCCTGTCTGTATTAAAGACAAGTCATTCCCCTCATCCGGGACTGCTGATATTACCTCAACATTTCCCCCGTCAGGTTCCTCTCAGACAGTAAAATCTGATCCGATACGTCAGGTCTGGACTTGGGCACAGATCCCCTGGACTCACACCACCCCGTCCTGAGCACTAATGTATGAACTGACAACCTTGTTCACGATGAAATAAATGTCTGTAATTAGCCTTGATAGAATGGCGGTTCGGTGGATCTAGAGGACAGCCATGGCAATGCACAGTTCTGGTCCAACGCCCCATCTCAGGATCAGGTCTCCCCCCACCCCCAGCCTATCCACACCTTCTCCCTTAGGAAACTCCTTCATAGGGGACACCCCAGGACGCTGTGAGACCCCTCACGGCAGACTGGAGTCATCAAGCTCCAGGACATGAACACCGGCTCTACATCGTGTTCTAAACGCCAGCCTCAGCAGAGGAGGCCCTTGGGACGCTTGGCAGACTACTGTCCACTAAAATAAGCATCTCCATTAAATCTACACTGTTGATTTAAAGGGAGTACTGGGCGATCACTCATGCTTATTTACCAACGTGAAAAAAAATAATTAAGTAAATAGAAGAACAACTTTCTTAGTTATGACACCACGGATGCGGATTTCAAAAGTAAAATTTCATCAAGACTTGTTGAACAGGGTAAATGATTTAATAAAACATTAACGGGTTGGAGCCACATATTCTTTAAAACCAGCAGGCAATTTTGCTCACAATGGCTGTTTTTACTAGGCCAACATGTGTCATGCACGGTGTTCCCTTCCTTTATCCACTTGCCAAATAAAAGGCCCTAATATTATCCTCAAAAGGTAATAAAAGCACTCACCATAGACACACACTGAGGGAGGCAATAAGGGTCAAGTTAATTATCATTTCCGATAGGTACTATTATTTAAAGCGCCCACCTCCACGCAATGAAGTTCACAAACTAGGTTCATAAATAAGGGCTGTAAAAATGTTCGCAGGCAGAAGATTTCACATGGGGGAATTAATGGGAGGAACAGACAACCTAATTTATTAGCTTCGGCGTATTTTTCTCTGACGAGACAGGTTTTAGTATGAGCTTCATCTTAACCACAGTTAGCTAGCACGGTAAAGTTAGGAAAAGGAATGCATGTGTCTAATACAGCAATCCGACCAGAAGACTAGCATCAGATCTGTCTTTCTTCACCATCAAGTCCAAAGTTTTATTCCTTTGCGCCACATTCAGCAGTAAAACACTGGGCTGCTACTAACACAGCAGGTATTTGGGCGTGTCACCCCGAAGTGGCCCGTCTAAGGGAAAGCCTCTGGGGTAGTAAGCTGATAGTCTTCAGCCCTGAAAACTAGAGATTCTTGAACGCACCGGACTGGACGGCAAGCCAGGCCTCCATTGTGTTAAGGAGAAACTCAACCCTTTTACACTTCACACACTTGAGCCAACCAGGGACCAAGACAAAAACTTAAGAAAAGAAAAGAAAATGAACAGCCTAAAGATCAACACTCTCTCCAATCTTTTTCTGGGGCACAAACTAGGAAACATCCCTCTCCTACAACAGGAGGTAAACTGCTGTTTTGACGTCGTCTTCCCGGCTCCCTTCTTATTCTCCAGATCCTTACTGATGAAGCATCTTTCCCTGTCTCAACCTCAACAGTGGGGTCATCTGGAGTCGCTCAATCTCAGGTTCTTCTTTCAATCCTGTAGCCTCCGGATGAACCGATCATCGCGCATTTTCAGAAGAAAAGAACATTGTTCGCCCACAAAGGAAGAAGAATTTAAGTCCTGTAAAGTCATCTTTAAATACAAAAAGGTCACCAGCTCCAGGGAGCAGTGCCATCATGAGTTTTAATGAAGGCTTCAGTGTGCAGGAACAAAGGAAGTGCATTAGGCTGGGGGCCAATTGTATTTCTTTACTAGTAACAGCAAACCTTCCTTTTTTTTTCTCTTACACACACACACACACACACACACACACACACACACACACACACACACATACACGAAACCAGAAAGGGACCTTAAAGAGACACACAGCAGCACTGGCTAACCTTTTAAACTCATTAAAAGATCAGGGGAGTAAAAAAACAAAATACAGCGGGCTGTTTAAAAAGCACCTGGCTTTTTTGTTTTGGTACAAACAAAAGGAATCTGTTTGATCACGGTAAAGATTGTAGCTGCTAGCACACATCAACACCTAGGTGCTGTGGGAAATTTGCTGAGAATTGCTCTTCGGTTGAAAACATTTCCTTGGTGCCAAAAAGACAGGGCTCTCTCTGATTGTAAAGAAATTCCATCCAGGAAAAAAACAAAAATTGAAATCCGTGTTTACAGATGCTCTCTGAGAAGCTCCCCCGGCCCCGAAGCTGGGCTCCTCTTGGGGCTGTCTTCTGCAAAGTGGTGGTGGTGGTGGGGTACTCAGGAAGTACAGGTGTCTGCCATTTGTTCTGCTGGAGGAGGTGACACAGTTGCTCAGGCCACCTTCTTGGCACCATCTTGGTTCACGATTCCTCAAAGGCCAAGTATTTGTTCCTTAAACGGGCTTCAGGATCTGTCACTGCTCCTGGGAACCCACTTGGTCCTTAACTCCTATTTCTGAATTGTCCCTGGGAGGCTCAAGAAGGAGGGGACCTTCACCAGCAACCAAGGCAGGAACTTAGAGGAGAGAAGGAAACTGCTGCTCCCAGAAGATGCTGGCCCGGGGGCTGTCTGGACCTGCAACTGGGAAGCATAACTCCCCTTCCCTTCTGCTTCATTTGCAACACAATCAGCTGAGGTCCCTGCTCATGTAGGGAAGCGGGACACTTGACACAGGTCACCCTGATGACAGGCTTTCTCTGTCTCCACTGAGACCCTGCACATGGATGAGTCTCACCTTGGTACCCCATGACACCCAATGAATTCTGCTTTCCACAATGATTTTCTTTTTGTGATGCGTGTCACCTGAATTTTCCTGGCAAACCATCTTCGCAAACCAGCCTTTTCAGAGCTGCCTGGCGGTGCCAAGATCCTTGGGAGAAGATGCCTGCTGGCCTGACTTGACTTCTGAATTTATTTTCATTGGCTATAGTTTTGGGAGCCCGTTCTAGGTAGGGTGGAGAGAAAGACTATGGCTATAATACCTGACGAGATTGTCAGCTGGTTTTAAACATTCAAGAAAAAGAACCGAGAGCCGGCCAGCGCTGAGCTCTGACGCTTCTACCAGGTAAGCTCATGACGAGGCACGAAGTTCCTCTAGCCTCGGTTTCTTTCCTTGCCCTTCTTGCCTTTTAGGGCTGCTGTGACAAAGGTTCCCCTTTCCCAGGGTGTTAACAGGCAGCGGGCACACAGGCCGGGCAGCGGGCATTTCAAAGGGCAGATGTGACCGGTGGTTCATGAAATCAATTCTGCGGGCTCGTGACCATCATTTTGTCTTTTATATGAACTAGACTAGAATAAACAGAAAATACCTCGGCGCACGGTGGAGTAATAGTGCATCATGAGATGTTTGTTTCTGAGCACGCGGGTGTGTGCCGGCCACTCACGTGACCCACGCACGAGGCATCGGGAGACAGTTTGGAGCTCATCCCACTGGCCGGCCACAGAACAGGGTTTAAAGCAGGCAGAGCGAGCATCAGGAGACGGGGAGTGTCTCCAAAGTCCCTCTCAAACCTGGTTCTGCAGCTTCCGTGCCTTTATTCCCAGCTCTGACGCATAAGGGTGACAACAGAATTTTTGGGAGGGTCGAGAGGTTAGGAAGATGGCAAACACGAGGGACCAGGTCTCCTCATGTAACCTGTCCTGGCTGCAGCAGACATTTAGAACAGCCAGCTGAGTAGTCCTGGGGGCTGGAGAGCTGCGAAGAATTGTGGGCGGGCGGGGCAGGGAGCAGACACAGAGGGGCTTCCGTCGGCTGGCCAGCATTAAAGGACACAGACCAGCCGTTGGGAAGAGCTTTATTATTGTGAGGAACACACCCGATTTGTCAGGATTCCACCACAAGCTCCCCGCGCCCTGTGTGCATGCAGACAATTTTATAGGTCTCTGAGTAATATCTGTGAGTGCTGGGGATTTGATGATTTTCTTTTAATGAGCCAAGTCTTTCTAGAATGTGCTATATACCTAAAGGCCAGCATAATCCTTAATGATGGTTACTCTTTACTGAACATTCTTAGGGACCATGCATCGATCGGGTCACCTCCATTTCCTGATCCTTCATGAAGAAGCTGTGAGGTAACTACCAGACCCCGGTTTAAGGACAGGAGCTAAGCCTCCGAAGTTAGGTAAGGTGCCTGCATCGAAGCCCACTCATCCCTGCAGTCAGAGAGGGATGGAAACACGGGACGGGTTGACATTACGCTCACACCCTGAAACAGGCTATTCTGGGCCTTTCATACACTGCACGGTTTCTCTAAATCGTTTCTTCTATCAACCAACTTGCATCTGGGAGGCAGGCGTAGGAGGGTTCCACGCTCACAATGCTCGGCGGCCACCGTGTACAAGGACACAAAGCTTAGGGAGCTCTGTTTTGTGAACGCGTTCCCGGGAGCAGATCCACAGAGCCTCGGCACACAAAAGGAGGGTGGGGACTCATGGAACAGAACCAAGGCCGGTGATGTCAAGGTGTATTCAGTCTTTGCTCAGATGTGCTTCCAAAACATCCCCAGCAGTGCCAAGAATCGTCTCACGCTGATTCCTTATTTAGAGCTCCCCCATGTACACACGCACGGAAGCACTTCTTACTAAGGAGCACGAGAAGCAGCACGGAGCACGCCTCTGGATCCTTTCATCAAGTGTACGGGAGGGCTTACGGACACGCCTGCGATCAGGCAAAGAAATCTTCACAGATAGCGATTGGGATCTGAACTCAGCTGTAACCACATTTCTAGTACTCAGAGGAGCCTATGGGATGGGGGATTTCTTCCATTTGTTTTCTTTCTTAAGAGGGCTGTTGTTTGATCTCTCGAAAGAACTTGTCAGAATATATACACAAGATGAAATCTACCTCTTAGCCACACAGCTATTGTTACCACTGTGTTTACTTACCCACGGGCACACACGCACACGTGCTTACGGAGGTGAGAAACTACCTTTCGGAGTCGGTTTCCTCCTCCCACCATGGGGGTAAACCGAGTTGAACTTAGGCCGTCAGGCTTCGAGGCGTGTGTCTTCACTCACTGAGTCGTCTCTCCGGCTCCTCCACTCCTCATTATTTCAAAGCTCCTGTGTCAATCTTATGCTCTTTTGTAGTGGTCACCACCAGTCACAGGGCTTCATTTTTCTTAGAAGCTTAACCCCCATGTCCGCCAGACAAAGCTACTTCCCATCCCTGCCTTCCCCAGTCCCTGCCGGACGCCTTTCTGCTCTGTGTCTCTGTGAATCTGACCACTCCTCACACGAGCAGAACCATCCACTGCTATTCTGTGGCTGGCCGGTCTGCGATCACATCACGCTTTCAGAGTTCACCCATGTCGCAGCACGCATCTGAATTTCCTCCCTTCTGGATGCTGAGTTACCTTCCCACTGTTTGTACAAACTGCTCTGTCTTTAGCTACTCGTCTGTTGATGGGCGCGTGGGAGGTTCTACCTCCTGGCTACTATGAATGCCACTGCTACAAACACAAACGAACAAGTGTCTCTGCCGTGCCCTGCTTTTGATCATTTCATATATACATGTGTGTGTGAGTGCGTGTGCACACACGTGAGCACACACACATACACACACACGCATTTGATCATTTCATATATACATATGTGTGTGCGTGCGTGTGCACATGCACGAGCACACACGTGAGCACACACACGTATACACACATACAGACACACGCAATTGATCATTTCATGTATACATATGTGTGTTCGTGTGTGCATGCCTGAGCACACACGTGTACACACACGTGTACACACACACACACATGATTGCTGGATAACATGGCAGCCCCATCATCAGGCTCGTGAGCTGTCTCCATGCTGTGTCCTGCAGCGGCTGTGTCATTTTACAGTCCCGCCAGCAAAACACAGAGTTCTAATTCCTCCACAACCTGTCTGTTATTTCACGGGACGGGGCAGGAAAGTGACAGCTACAGGATGCCACAGGCCCGGAGCCCACGTGTTCCTTCTCCCAGAGCGTGAGGCTCTCTGTCCTTCATAATAAACACGTAATGACCCAGCATGGGCACAGGCTCGGGGAGCGGGGCTGCTTGGCCCGTGTCTTCTATGTAGCTCTCACATCAGGAATGGGTGTGCACATGTGTGGGGTGTGGGGTCCCCGGCTCCCCGTGAAGGTTACGGAGTGAGGAAACATGCCAAACGGAAACCCCGAGCAGCAGGCCTGGAGCTGAACGCATGCACGTGTCAGCGCTGAGGGCAGGATGAAGGCTTCAGGCATCCGCAGCTGCAGGCTGCAGGCCTGTGGGGTCAGGCCCCGTGCTGCCTGGGGCTGTCTACCCAGAACACAGTAATTACTCAATAAAGACTAAAAGCTGAACTACACTAAAAGCTTCTCGTGCGTGTGCAATCCAGTCTCTGGACCCTGACTAAGAGACTTTTGCTGTAAAATAGCAAAACAGAACACGCGATCAACCGGGAGGACAAGGCTACCGAAACCTCCATCACCATGGCGGCCAGGTGCTGGGCCTGTGTGAGGCTCAGCCTGCACTGAGGTGGTTAGTCTTTAGCATTGTTTCCAGAGGGGACACCATAGCCACCCTAGCAGTAGTACAAAGAGATGCAAACTTTTCCAAGTCTCCCCCAGGACTCTGCTCCCTTCCCGGTTAAAGTCGAGCTTCTTAGCAAGTGTACGCAGAGTTTATACGCTCTGTAACTCTCACAGTCTGTGTCCACCCCACGGAAGACCCTACATGGAGATGATCATCCCCAAAGGGGAAACGGCAGGCTCACTGCCTACAGCAAAAGTCCCTCATATCTTGACTCTAAATATTATGTAATTATCGACGAATAAAAGTGTAACACTTGGGGAAGCTGAAGCCAGAATGAAACTAGGTAAATAGTACCGAATCTTCCCCTATTCTTCCTGCCCCTCCCTCTCTCTCTCTCTCTCTCTCTCTCTCTCTCTCTCTCTCTCTCTCTCTCTCTCTCTCTCTCTGTTTCCCCCCCACACATGTGCATACACACAGGAGGTATTTATGGAAACAGCTGTTGAAAATATCTGCTAAACTATGCCCCAATGGTTATTGGTTAAAGGGTCAATCCTTCCATCCAATTAAAAATCAAGCAACAAAATTAAAGGCAATTAAACTCCAGTTACCCCCCCATAAAAGAAACATGTGTGGACGCTCTAACTTGCATACCTGAGGTATGATTGACATTTTCTTCCTTAAATCATGGAGTCCAATTTCAGTTGTCAAGATCTTGTCGATCCAGATTTTCCCCTCAGGCTCTGACAATCTGAAGAGGGCCGAGATGAGGGAACTCTTTCCAGCCCCTGTTCGCCCCACAATTCCAACCTGTAAAGACAGCCAGAGGAGGGATTAAATTAACCACATGTAGCCGACCTAGGTGGGCATGCTCATTTTTGAAGGTGAGCTATGAGACTTCCTATTGTGTGTTGACTGAAAGCCGCCCAGCCTCAGGTCTGCTGACCCTGTGAGGGAGGGCAGCTCTTCATGACGGGTGCTGACTTGAACCCTGGGATGTCCTTTCTGGATCTCCATAGCAGCTTCCAAGCTGTGGCAACCCAAAATGTCAAGTCTTGGGGAAAGCGGCCATGGGTAAGACCCACTGGGAACAGAAGAGTCATAGGACTGCTAGGGATTAACCAGTAGCATCCTTGGTCCGTGATGAGAAGGGTATTTTTTTTTCTCCTGAACATCACATCCGCAGAACCTTGAGAGCCGCTCGGATAATTCTGTGGAGGTGCTGACAGCCCCTTCCAGAAGGGTTATACACAGAGAAGCATCATTTCAACCAGTGTCCTGCCGTTTACAGTGAGTTCATCTTTGCTAGAGAAATTAAATCGCTCGTTATTAGCCATCTGGTTATGCTGTGGCTCGAGAGGAAACACCTTCAAATCTGCAGATGCACGTCCTCTCTCCACATCGTTAAAGACAGCAGCAACCAGGAGCCCAAGCACGCATAATGCGATCAACAACGGCGGCTCCACAGATAGCCTTCGCTATTCACTCTGGGCCTTTCATCCCAGCAGTTCAAAAGGCATTTTCCAGACCAATTAATACCTACAATTGCCCCTTGGGAAAGATGAGTGTGAAGAATCATTCCTCTATTAAAGTCAGAGCAGAGAGAAACGAAGCGCTCTGACAATAACATCAAAGGAAGGTGGATGCTGGTCAGGGAGAAAACCACTGTAAAACCTGGCCTCTGAGGGGCGTATGTCTAAACCCATGAGCAGAAAACCAGCCTTGTCTCCTCCAGCGAGCTTGCTCAACCTGTGAGAGAGTCCAAAGACATGACATTGCCAAAAATACGCAGCCAATGAACGCATGGATGTGCTATCATGTGTAAACTAATTCAGTAAATTAAAAAAAAATTAAAACCTCACCATTTAAACAGGGAGGGGACCAAACTCAACCACCTATTAGTTACACGCTGGGGGGGGTGGTGATTTACACGTTATATCATTTGGATGCTTTCAAAGACAATCAGCGAAGAATGACAGACGTGACTGTAAGGAAGGTGTTTTCATCATGGAAGTTTTTGAAGTCTCTGCAGGTGTCATCCACCATATGGGCAGCACTAACTTAGGACCTGCAGAGAGCTGGATTTTGTACACAGATGTGTCTCTGCGTACACGTACGTTTCACTCATCTCTGGATATTCGCTTTACAAACTTCCATGTCGGGAGACAGGTAAACCCATGTTTGTGACATGTGGAAAAAGGATCCATTGGTGAAAACCCAAGCCACGTTAGACTCCAGGGGAATGGTTGGATGTGCCCACGAGAGACAGGGGACGCTGAGAGCAGCCCGAAGACAGAATATCCAGTGCTCCGCTCAACACGGCTGCGGCTTTGGACTTCCCCCTCATCTCTAGCTTCTTCCCCATCAAGAGACCAGGCTCTCATCGCCTATCTTCTGTCCAGCTTCCTCCCAGGAAGCCTGACATCAACTTCCAAAGATCCTTTAATTCCCACCACCGCCTGCTGAACGCAAGGCCACCTTACAAACAAATACAACAAATTCATCTCCACTACAAACCAGTGCGATCTGGAAGGTTCATAACGCTGACCCTAGTACCGCACTCTGACGGAACGACACTTCATTCGTGGATGTGTGTGTGTGTGTGTGTGTGGTGTGTGCGTACATGTGCATTTGTGTGGTGTGTTCCAAAGACATAGACTCATTTCAACCATGCCATGTCGCTTACTATTTCGCCTAAACATTTAAGGCACAGTGTGATCTACTACACGCGATTATTTACTTAATGAATCTTTTGCTTGTGGATGTTTCAGCTGTTGACAAAATATTCTGCTGCTATAAACGGCATCGTGTCAGATACCTCGGAGGCTACACCCTTGCAAACAACCTTAATTACTTCCCTAAAATAAAACCTGAGGCTTGGAACTACAGAGCAACAGGTATAAGCACTTCAAAAGAAGATGCGGAGTGCCTGCAGAAGCAGAACTCAAATACCGCAGCTCCTGGTGTGTAACAGAGGCTGTTGCTGCGGGATGGCGGGATTGCACGTGAAAACAGAGGTCACCACGAGACAGACGCAGAAACACCTGTGAAGGTGCGCTCAGGGAGAGTCAAAGTATCACGATGGACAGAGCTTAAAAGTAAAGAAACACTCCAGGCGCACGCCTTTAGTCCTCCTTGCACCCGGGAGGCAGAGGCAGGCGGATCTCTGTGAGTTCAAGGCCAGCCTGGTCTACAGAGTGAGTTCCAAGGCTATACAGAGAAACCCTGTCTCAAAAAACCAAAATCAGAAACAAAAGTAAACATACACACACACACACACACACACACACACACACACACACACACACACACACACGACCTAGGACTCCACTTAAGACTCTCATGTGCTGTCCCAGAAGAGGGTGAGGTAACCCATGGTGTCAACGGGGTGTAAAAGAAAGTTTCATAGAAATCAAGGGCTCACTGAGACGCTAGGTCTGGACCAGAGTGTCTGTATCCCTACCAAGTTCAGGGATATGATGCTTCAGGCTCAGCTGGGGAAAAGGCAGGGGCGGGGGAAGTGGGAGCCCCGCCCAGCAGAGAGATGAGGCCTCTCCGAGAAAACATTCCACGAAAGGGGAGAAAAGGTAGGAAGCTAATACTTTCACGCATTATAGTGTGGGAACACCAGACCTTGAGCAGAGACCCACTTCCCCTTCTGCCTGGGAGTAGGCAGCTGTAAGACAATGTTTACTAAAAACAATACAATGCCTGGGGGCATTAAGTTCCTGGAAAAGGCCTGCCCGAGAAACCACCCTGACCTCGACCTTGTCCAAAGACTAACCACCTCTTCTGCCACGCCGAGATCAGTTTCTGGGGTCAGAGCAGAACCAGCCAGGGGAGAAGAGAGAGCAGAAGCTTCTCTGGTGGGAGCCTTTCTTAGGAAGTTTTCTTGAACCTTTTTGGGGCCTGCTTAAAGTTTTCTTTACATCGTTGAACAAGTCTCTGTGTTGTCAATCCCCGACACCCTCCGCATGTTCTCGGACACAGGCCGCGCAGCAGACGCGACATTATAGCAAGGTCTAGCATGCATCTGTAAAAATGAATTATCACAGTAATGGCTTTGAGCAAGAAAAAAAAGATAACAAACCCAAATCTATCTACTTCTAGAACTGGAAAATGCTTTTGAATGGCCCAGTACTCTCTCGGATGATCAAATCAACCACAAAAATCACCTAAATGAAAAATGCAGCCAGCGTTTAGCCGCTAACCCGGAGACCCGGTGTACTACTGATCACATTTATGTCCTTTCAGAAATGAGGAACCTGGTTAGTAGCGAGTACAGTTTCTTCTTCACCGTAACTTCCAGGGAGCTCAGAGGAAGTCACGGAAAGGGAACAAAGCCCGTTTCTGCTGTGTTGGCACATTCCTATGTCTGAGCCTGAGTCCAACACGGAGAGTCGTGGCTGCAAAAGTGGGTCTGGGAGGAGACAGAAGGAGGGGGGACCCCATGCTGCAGCTAGCTAGATGTGAGCAACGACAGATGCACACTAGCTAAGACAATGCACAACCTGGGCTGGGGTGGGCAAGACCCAAGTCAAAGACCGAGTTACCTCAGACAAACTCAGCCTCCAAACTCAATTTCCTCTCCAACCGTTCGGCATCTCAGGTAATCCTACGATCTGGGGTAGGCTTAGGCTCTCAGGACGCAAATGTGGGACTATATACAACCATCTTCTAACTTGTTCAACAGAGCTCTTTATAACTCATCTTTTGTGGCTCCCAGGGAAACTGAAGACATGCGCAATTTAAGAGAACCGCGCTTGCGACGTCAGATCTGATAAGTGCACTCCGTCTGCAAGCAAGCACGCATCCTACACGGCTGGAAAAAAGGACGCCTGCCGTCGGAGAGGCTCGGCTTTCATCAGAGCTGCAGCTCACGCTTTTCCCACACAGTCAGCCACCCCGTCTTCGGACCTACAAGGAAGCTGGGGGAAATAATTAGGATCGGGCTTTTGCCAAGTGGCTTGCTAAAGGTGCTCGTTGCATACCCGTTGGGCACCAAGTTGTACATTTATTCTTTCATGTCACAAGGGTATCACTCATTAAATCACAGCTGTGATGAGGCCATTAAGCGTGTTGGTGGTATGGAGAGTTTAAAAGGAGCAGCTTGCAAAGTATTTAACACTCCAGGGGCCGGGTTATAGCGCAGTGGCAGAACAACATTTGCCTGTCACATGTAAATCCCCGGATTCGACCCACAGAAGCATAAAAATAAAGTGAGTGGGGAGGGAGCAGTTTCGCACACGTGCGCTTAGGAAAGGGGCTATTGACAGGGTTCTCTTACAGAGTGTTTTCTTACAGGCTTCCCCCTGCCTGCCTCAGTATCTGGCATGGGCCCCGCCCCCAGAATGACATTTACTGGGAACAGGGAAGAGTATGGACTGTTCCCTAACCTCCAGAAGCCCGAGGACCCTGAGATATAGATCAAGAACTGAAAATCATGCCATAACACATGCGCACATACATGCATGCACGCACGCACCCACAGACACACACATGCACACACACAGGCACCCATGGAAAGATACACACGCACAGGCATCCACGCACACAGGCACACACACATGCACGCAGACATGCACAGACACCCACACACACACATACAGACACACACACACACATGCACGCATGCACGCAGACACACACACACACACAGGCATTCACGCACACAGGCACACACACAACACAGACACCCATACACACTCATGTACACAGGCACACACGGAAAGACAAACCTGTGGCAAAATACTCAAGTGCAGCTGTCTTAGTTACTTTTCCAAAAACACCTTGGCAGAAACAGAGAGAAAGGGTCTGCCCGCCACGAGCTGACCACACTGCCTCCACAGTCACGAAACAGAGAGTGACGACGACTTATCAAGCGCCATTTCTCCTTCCAACACAGCCCGTGATCCCAGCGCAGGGAATGGCGCCACCCACAGTGGATCAGTCTCCTTACCCAAATACACTAAGACCCCACCCCCACCCCCAAGGCATGCCTAGAGGCCTGTCTCTCAGGTGACTATAAATCTTATCACATCGACACCTAGATTAACTATCACTCTTAGCTATTTTATACACTTTCAAAATCGAGGGGAAAATAACATAAAATTCCCCATCACAACTATTTTAAGCACCCAGGCCAGTGGCGTTAACTATATTTACACTGGTTTGCAACCTCCGTTGTTATCCATATCCAGGGCTCTTTTCAGTGTGCAAGACGAGAACCCCTGTACCCATCACGGCACTCCTCACTCCCTGCTCCCCTCTGTCCCAGGATCTGGAAACCACCACCCTCCTTTAGGGTTCTGTGAGCTGGACACGTCCGGGTGGCATAGAGGGTTCACACAGTAGTAAGCTCCTGTGGCTTCTTTCGCTCAATGTAATGCCTGCCCTCAGGGTACGTCCATAAGTCCGCATTACAGAATGCATTGGCATTCCCCCCTTCCCTGTTAAGACCGAATGCCACCTGCAGCGTGTAATCCACCACACTTCCCCTACCCACTCGACGGACACGCAGGGTGCTCCCAGCTTTCAGTCACCGTGAATGATTCTGCACTGAACACAGTGCAACTAAGACGCTCTCCTAGGGCTTCTAGAAGAGACTTTGACGGAGGCAGAGACAGTTTGCATGAACGAAAAGAGTATGTGAGTCATCCTCAGGAGAGCTCAGTGGAAGAGTTAGAGACCCGTGGGGTTACAGACTTCAGCCGTGGGGAGGCTCTGAAATAGGAGAGCATTAGAAGGGACAGCGGTTACAAAAAAGCAAGCGTAACGTGGGTCCTCAAGGAAAAGGGACAGACTCTGCAGGCCCACAGCACCGAAGGCACTGTTAACGCTTCTACGTCCCCACGCAGTGAGAGCATTGAGCAAGCTGCATGACCCTTGACCTGGCCCACCTGCCAAGGGCAACGGAGGCAGGCACTTCGTAGGATCCCGAACTTATCTTTCGTCTGCAGGGGTGGGAGAGGGAGAGCCGTAAGGCCTCGGTGGTTTGTTATCAACTGTGCGTGGGCGCATCTGGGGTCGCTAAACAAGACGCGAGCGAGCCTCAGCCCGCAGCAGGACCGGACAGCAGGTGGGCAGTCCAGGACACGCTGTGTGGGTGGGTGGAGCCAGGGCGTGTGGGGGTGGAGCCAAGGCTCAGCGCTTGTGGGCATGTGGGTGAAGCGCCTCTTATTGCCTGGCTTGCCATGGTCTGGTCTGTCCAAGAGTCAGCTCTGGTCCTGGCCCAGGGCACCAGACCATGAGCTCTAGAGCCACTGAAATAGGTGAGCTTGCCGGAAGATCAGTCCGTGCCCCACCCCCCGCCCCCGCCCCCGCCCCCGTCCCGCCCCGCCAGGCCTCAGGTTCTGGATCTCTTTCATCTACTCCACCGGAGTCTCTGGACCTTATCCTGTCTTCAGCCTGGGCTCAGGCCACCAAGCTCTGGTTGGGCTTCCACGGTGGCGGAGAACTGGCCTTCCAGTTCTACCAGAATACGTCTGGGCCTGGCTAGCAACACAACCGAAGCAGCTTGCCCAGACAGGAGGCAACAAATCCCTTCTGCCCTTCAGGAAGGAAGTCAGCTGTGGGAGGAAAAACAGAAGCAGGGTGCCCAGTCTGCCGACACCGAGGTCGTCTACAAGGGACAGCCGAGTTGCAAAGGGACAATCGGCTAAGCAGAAACACATCCAGGTCTCCAGTAAATTTATCACCTTCTGGTGGGCCATGATCATAGCTGGCCTGGGCCTCAAGCAGCCCACGGGCTTGGGGTTGGACAACCGTGGAGGAAAGCAAAAAAAGACCATGGAAAGAGACTAGGGCGCCCCGTAAGATGAGGGGAGGGCTGGAGTGGAAATTTTCATGACTGGAGGAGCATTTGTTTAACGACAGAGGGATAAAGGCAATGGGAGGGAAGTAGACACAGACGTCCCAGTGACAGGGACCCAGGGATGACATCAGATCAGATTATTATTATGAACCATTCGATCAGATATATTAAACTCTGGTCAGGTTAAATTCCAGGGTACCTCAACCCCGGGTACTTTACTGTATGAAGAAGTTTCCTCCTCAAGCAGTAAGAATGTTTTTGACAGCAACAACAACAAAATTAAAAACTATTACGTAACACTTCAGAATAACTGAGAATGCTGGTAAGTGGAGATTGTTTTTAAAAAGAAACATTAGTTTCCCATGGCATGGTCCACTTCCAAAGAGGACGTATCTACATCACCGTTGGACTGATTTGCATCCTCAGAGGAGCTGGGTCTTGCTGGCAGACCACCAGGAAGTCAGCACGCAGACGTGGCCTAAGTCTTCGGTGGAAACTAGAGAGGAGGGAGGTGGCTTAAACGCACCTTTTCTCTGGATTTGATGAGCGCCGTCAGGTGCTTGAGTACCAGAGGGCCGTCCAAGCTGTAGGTGAAGTTCATGTTGTCAAACACAATCACCCCTTCCTGGGGCCAGCCTGGGGGTGGGCGTTTCTGGTACTCCCAAGGGGCTTCCTTTTCTAGGTTTGTGTATTCAATCACCCTCTCCACAGAAATCATCTGAAAGAAAAAAAGGCATCCACATGGGTCAGGAACCAGGGGTCTTCCTGGTGGAGAAAGCTGACCTCCACACAGCTGGGCAAGTCTGCGTGGGTCTTCACATCTGACAAGGCTACTGAGGACCTCGATGACTTACAATTTCACTCACCATCATCTAACACTTTCAATTATTCTAGCCAATCCATTCAACCTTATAACACTGAGCAAAAAGCAAGAGAAGGGGCTGGAGAGATGGCTCAGCGGGTAAGCGGATGTCTGTGCAAGCATGGAGACCTGGGTTTGGATCTCAGCACCTCCGTAAACAGAAACCTCGCTTCTGGGGTTTCTTCCTGCCAGGTCCTACAGCAGCTTTGGCCCCAAATAAACACATGGATGCTATTAATTATTAAACTGTTGGCCGATGGCTACAGCTTCTTACTGGCTAGCTCTGTCTTAATTATTAACCCATAACTCCTAATCTACATATTTCTTCATGGCCTTATCTTACCAGAGAATGCCCAGCACGCCCTATCCTCCTGGTCTCTACGTGGCATCTCTTTGCGGTGCCTCTCTCTGCCTACCTTTCCCAGAATCCTCCTCATCTCCTAGTCCCACCCATCTTCCTGCATCTACTGGACAGTGTTTTGTTCACCAACAAATAAAAGAAGTATGCAGAAGGACATTCCCTGTCAAAACCTACGCATGATAGCAAGGATCTACAACACAGGTGTTAGTGGGTGCAGACAGATGGCAGGGCTCACGCCAGCCTTGCTGCAACGGTGTCCTCCCAGCTCAGGGAGAGCCACGCCTCAAAATACGAGTGAAGACGGTGCCCCATGCAAACCTCCAGCATGCACGTGCAACGTGCACAAATAACACACACAGGCACACGCACACTCACACACGCTCACACACACCCACTCACACACGCTCACACACATATTCACACACGCTCACACACATACTCACACACATACTCACACACTCACACATGCTCACACCCACTCACACCCACTCACACATGCTCACACCCACTCACACACGCTCACACACACCCACTCACACACGCTCACACACACCCACTCACACACACTCACACACGCTCACACATGCTCACACACACATATTCACACATTCACACATGCTCACACATGCACTCACACACACTCACACATGCTCACACACACATATTCACACATGCTCACACATGCACTCACACACACTCACACATGCTCACACCCACTCACACACGCTCACACACACCCACTCACACACGCTCACACACACACACTCACACACACTCACATGCTCACACATGCACTCACACACACTCACACATGCTCACACACGCACTCACACACATACACACTCACACATGCTCACACACATATTTACACACTCACACATGCTCACACATACATACTCACACACACTCACATACACACTCACACACTCATGCACGCTCACACACATAAAAATCTTCCAAAAACACAAGGATGAAAGGATTTTTTCTTTAAAAACCAAGAATTTATGACCTTCAGCCAATAATCTCTTTCTACACAGAATGGCCACTCGTTCTAGACCACTTATCTCACTCATGCATCTTCAGGCCTCACTCAACAGTTTCTAGTGTGCTAGAGAAGCGAAATGGAGGTATCTCATGCTGACGGCTTATCTCATGGGCGGGAATAAATATTTTGAAAGAGGAAGCAGGTCACATGCTGACTAACCCTTCTGCTGTCGCTGTAACTGCTGCCTTTGAGGGGAAGCACATTAGAGGTGGGCACTTGCCCACCGGAAAGGACCAGCAGTAACGCTGGGGCCTCCCGCCTTCTACTCCATGCATGGGAGATGCTGAAACTGGTGATGAGCGTGTAGGGATGGGGGGAGCTATTAATTAAACAAACAGCCTCAAAATACTGAATTCTTCTCTTACCAAGAACAAGGAATTACCCATTAAGAAACAAAAATAAACAGGCCTCTGAGAAATTAGCCTATATCCTCTCTCGGGTTTCATGGCTTCCCTCCTACAGAGGCATTTATTACATTTGAAGACAGCCTGTGCTGAATCTAAAACCTGCTGACATAGCATGCATGAGACAGAGAGAAAGATGTACACAGTTTTATTTTACATTAACGCTAAACAGATGGAAGCAGGACCTTAAAAAAAAAAGCTCCATGAGCTATGATGCAAAAATAACAGTTTTAATATTTTACATAAGAATTGCTTTTATGTCATTTAATGGCAGAGGGGACTTTAAAAGGCTGAAAAGTCTCAGATAAACATTACCATATTCTCCACTTCGGCACTCTGTCGCACAGACCACTGGAACATCCCCATGAGCGTGAGGGCGTAGGATAAGGCCAGGCCAACTTGCCCAGCATCCAACGCTTTGCAGGGAGGAAGGAGAGAGGACAGTCAGTCTCCATGGCAACCCGCGCCCGCTGCCTTCTGCTGCCTTACCAAGAGGACCCAACAAGTTGTATACAACAAAAGTCGATCTTTACATTTCTATTTGTTGACTGAGATCGTGACGCAGTTTTAAAAGCCCATTATGAGTGCTGAAAGGCTACTGGATGAGTTTATTAATCTCTGTAGGACTGACACACGTTTGAGAAAGGGCATTGTATGCGTGAGGCCCAGAGTCATTATTCAGGCTTGTCATTATGGTTTAAAGCCTGCTACGTAACCCCGCTGTCTGCATTTCCCGTGTAACCCGCGTTTGGAAACCACTGCAAACAAGGTGATGTGTTATAGGAGTCAATGCCTTTTGAAAGCAAAACACGACTCCCATTGTTCTGCTAATAAACAGTGTGATTCGGCGGTGTTATTGTAGAGGGTTTAGGCATGGCGAATTCATGCCACACGTGCCAACACCTGCTCCTCTGGTGCCCACCTGGCAATGAGCACAGTGTTCCTTCCTGGTGGGCATCTTTCTCACCCACGTAGGGACACCAACACACCAAGAAGCCCCAAGGCTCAAATATCGAGCCCCAGTCTGGGAAAAAAATGTTAAACAGTGAACTTGGGTCTCATCTCCTGGCTATGAGATCAGCAGTTTCGAGAATGCCATGGTAGAGACCTCGGCTCCTTCTAACAAAGATAAAAGGGACTTATCCAGACTTTCCCAACTGGGTCCTACCCACCCTGACACGTTGTAAAAGCTTTAGCACACTTTATTAGAACCACACAGAATGCACCATTAGACAAGGTGGCAAGAGTTTAATTTAACAACTGTAAACACAGCTATAAATTGTAATCATACCATAAATAGTTATTCCCATCTGCACTCACTTTTTGCCAGAACCAGGGACCCAAAGGCAACGACGATGACAAAGATGGCACAGATGGCATCCAGACGCACGGCGAACCATCTCGACGTCGTCAGGAACAAGAACCAAGCCTCTGGATGTGAGAGCCACAGTAGACACGGTGAGTGAGCACAGAAACCGTCCTAACTGCGGTGTGTGTGACGGGCACTGGGATGCTGACACACAGTAGGGCAGCAAGGTCGCATACTTAGCATTTCTAGAAAGTCAGGGAATGCAGAGCAGTGTACGACACAGACCACAAACAGTACAGAGGCTTTGCAAAAGGAAAAGAAATTGAAAGAAAATTAAGAGGTAACAAGTATATATATAATATATATATGCACACACACACATATATATAATCATAATAAAGATATGAAAATGGCTTGCTGTTTCTTGAAGTACTGGGCTATCATATGAACCAGCTTATGGGTTGACTGTTTTTCAGTTCTACAGCAAGGGGCACAGCTCCCAATTTGCCTCCAATCCTTCCCTTAATTGAGCGTTCTGCACACACTGGGGTCGGGGATGGCACACAGCTTAGGGGCCAAAAGGAGCCTCGTGCGTAGTTTTTTTTTTTAAAGTGCCCTCGCGTCATCAAAACACAATAAAGGTGGGGCAGGTTTTACAGACTTGGAGGGAATTCTGAAACTTCTGGGAGGAAAGACCTCACACAAACACAAAGAACAGTAAGTCATGCCTGTTACCCTGTGTGTATCAACTGAATAATGGCTAGCCATCCATGGTCCATGGGCCGAGAATATGAACTGAATAATGGTTAGCATCTACGGTCCACAGGCCGAGAACACCAACTCAATGGTTAGCATCTACGGTCCATGGGCCGAGAATATGAACTGAATAATGGTTAGCATCTACGGTCCACGGGCCGAGAATATGAACTGAATAATGGTTAGCATCTATGGTCCACGGGTCGAGAACACCAACTCAATGGTTAGCATCTATGGTCCATGGACCGAGAAGGGTCCAGCCCTTGTTTATAAAATCAAGTCTTCCCGGAGCACAGCCACAGCCCATGCTGATGTATCGCCGGTACTTGCTTCCACACTTACGGCAGCAAAGGAAGCAATTTCAGCGGGGACAACACAAGGACTCACTGTGGGAAACATTTACCAGGAGGCCTTTTTACAAAATACATCTGCTGACTGAGGCCCTGAACAGACAGAGAGCCACAGGGCACCGAGGTGGAAGGGATTGAGCAAGGGCCACCAGAGGGAAGCCAGACATGGGGAGAGAGACTCCGAGAGGGCTCAGGGGCCTGAGAGCGGATGGAGCAGGCAGAGGTACAGGGCCGACGAAGCCCATCGCCTACAGGCGTCGAGCCCGAGGGGACAGCAGCTAGCACGTCAACCTGTAGAAACCACTTCCAGAAAAGTTCAGACCTGAGTGCAAGTCCTGGTGTGCGTCAAACAGCTCCTGGAACCTGTCCTCCGCTTTGTACGCCCGTATGGTCCAGAGCCCCTGAAGGGAGGAGGACAAGTGGGAGAACACTGGACTCCGAGCTGTGGAGACAGGGAACACAGAACAGGAAGCTCAGAGGGGCTGTGGGCGTGGACACGCCCTCCCCCCCCACCTCCTGCGCTCTAGGGTGTAGACTCTGAGCACCCAGCAGTGCTCCCTAGGCCTCCCTACGGGGCTCTAGGTTTGGAGTCTGAGCACTCCCAGAAGCCTGCAGGAGTCCCTGTCCACGCACCCCCCCAAACCCTGGTCAACGTCAGAGCCTCGTTTTAAAGACGGAGTGAGCGCTTCTGTTCAGTGCACCCCCAACCAAAGCCAAGCCTCCCGTGCCCTCCACTAGCCCATTCCCCCAAGGGCTTTGCTTCCCGATACTTCCCAGCTGTCTCTATGGGAAGAAAGTATTTTTCACTGAGTTTCTTTTTTTTTTTTTTAACACTTTTGGGCAGTAGCGTTCTGAAAAATAATTTCATTAGAGGACTTAATCACAACACACTGTGATGTGAGACACATCTTTCCCCCTTCTTACATTGTTATCTTAGGGGCCGGAATATGGCTAGTTTCCCTGGAACTAAAAGGGTACCTGACACAGGCAGACAGACAGACAGACAGACAAGTAAGCCAAACGGACAGGGTCTCCTCTGTGCATCCCAGAGAAGCTTCCTCTGCCCTCCAGCATGAGAACAGTCCTTTATGGTCACCATGCCTGGGTGTCCATCTGCACTTGTGCCCACACCATGGACGCAGATGGAAAAAGATGACTACCCGATAGAAACGTATCCTCAAGGTTGAGGCTAGTGCAGCACGTGTCCTCACTGCAGTCTTGGTGGCTTCATCATCTTATCAGAATTTAAAGGACAGATTCTCCTTCATCTGTCTTTGGCTATGGGGAATACATACCCCGCAATGGGTTTTTGTGCTTCCAGAATACTGGCTCATGATTACCAGGTCCCACCATGTCCACTGTCAGGCAAGGAGGGTTCCCTGACAGGCTCATTCTGCACTGTGGATAAGACTGTCCTGGGGAAGCTTACAGAACACCAAATATAGTGGATAACAAAAAAAAAAGCCTCTCGCCACATAATAATCAAGACCCCAAACATACAGAATAAAGAAAGAATAATAAGAGCAGCTAAGGAAAAAGGCCAAGTAACATATAAACGCAAACCTATCAGAATTACACCTGACTTCTCCATGGAAACTCTGAAGGCCAGAAGGTACTGGATAGATGTTCTACAAACACTAAGAGATCACGGATGCCAGCCCAGACTACTATACCCAGCAAAGCTTTCAATCACTATAGATGGAGAAAACAAGATATTCCATGACAAAACCAGACTTAAACAATATGTATCCAGTAATCCAGTCCTACAGAAAGTTCTGGAAGGAAAATTCCAACCCAAGGAAGCTACCTACAACCAGAAAAACATAGGTTATAGATAATCCCAGTTTGCCAACAGCCAAAAGAAAATATGGGTGAAAATCCACACACAATTCCACCACCACCAACAACTCGAAAACAAACAAAAATCAGCAACCAAGGTCACTAATATCCCTCAATATCAATGGTCTTAACTCGCCCATAAAAAGACACAGGCGAACAGAATGGATTCGAAGACGGAATCCATCCTTCTGCTGCATACAAGAAATACACCTCAGTTTCAAAGACCGGCATTACTTCAGAGTGAAGGGTTGGGAAAAGATTTTCCAATCAAATGGACCCAAGAAACAAGCGGGGGTAGCAATCCTAATATCTAACAAATTAGACTTTAAACTAAAATCAATCAAAAGAGATGAAAGAGGTCATTTCATACTCATCACAGGAGAAATCTACCAATATGGAGTCTCAGTTCTGAACATCTATGCCCCAAATACAGAGGCAGAGACACCCACAGCTAAACGCTGAACTGAACTCCTGGAATCTAGTGACAGAGGGGATGGAGTGATGAACAAAGACTCATTAAGTGGACATTATACACAAGGACAACCAGCCTACAGGCCACAACCCCAGCGAACGTGGGTAACAAGGACTCTAAGAGACACATACATAGATTTGCATAGGAAGGGGAAAAAGACAAGATTCCTGAGTAAATTGGGACATTTAACCCACAGAAACAGCTGACCTGAACAAGGGGGAGCTTTTGGATCCCGGCTGATGGCTGGGAGACCAGTATGGGACTGATCCAGACCCCCTGAATGTGGGTGTCAGTGAGGAGGCCCCAGCAATCTATGGGGACTCGGGTAGTTGATCAGTATTCATCCCTGGCATACAAATGCACTTTGGGTGTCCATCCCACAAATGAGGGATGCTCTCTCAGCCTGGACTCTTGGGGAGGGCCTAGGCCCGCCCTGAATGAAATGACAGAGTCCATGGGGGATCTGCAGAATCTGTCACTTGTCTCAGAGGTTGTTGTGTGTCCACTGGGCCCTCCGTAGCTGGGCTCTGGCATTCTCCTGGTGCTGTAAGGGACTTGCAGGGACGTCGTCCGTGCAGGTGCTCTTCATCTGCAGAGCGACAGCTCCGTGGCAGGTGGGATGTTCTCGGAGGCCTGCAGTAAAAGGCTGACGTGAGCCTGTGACTCTCTTCTTTGGAGCCTGGGATCGATCCACTCAGGTCCCCGTATCCACCGTCAAGAGGGAGACAGACGTTTAGTCGGTATACTGACATGGGGGCAGCGTGGACATCAGAGTGACAGCATCAAAGAGCAGGCCCCTTCAGAAACCGCCCCCAAGTGCCTGGGGGCTTCTTGCGGCACCGTCCCGGTTCGGCAAGCGCCCGGGAGGAGACTGTTTTCTTTCCGAAAGGAGTATCACACGGAAAGGCTTCTTTTGCGTCATGTCCACAGTCAGGTAGCCTGGCCAGGAAAGAGCCCCCTCGGGGAGCTGCAGAGGACCACAGGCCCATTGGAGAGACTGTGCATCTCTCTCTCTGACCGCAGTGTCTTGTCTTGGGCTATGTATTCTTCCATTATCTGTCAGTGAACTCCAACTTACGAGACGATGCTCTGTCTTGGTGCCTCACCACCCATCCGCGTGGCTCGTGTGTGTACCGGAAACAGGCCAGCGGGAGACAGCGTGGTCACACAGACAGGCACGGGGATGCCCCGGAGAATGAGCGTTGTTTTCTCTTGATTTCTGTATTTAAATGCAGCCGAAGAGTTCTTTTTTTTAAAAAAGAAATGAGTGGGGGTGGAGGTGGCAGTACGTCCTGCGGCAATGCCTGCGGCGATCAGGGGCCGGCTTACCCCCGCCTTTATGTGGGCTCCAGGGCGGAAGGGGGAAGGGGACCAGACCCAGCTCAGGCGAGCTCTACCACCGGCTTGGCCTCCTCACTACCCCACCCCAAGAGCTCGTGAGGCAGTGCCGGGACCCGTGCATTAAGCCGTGACCCTGGCTCTCCCGTGCTTGCTTCTCTGCTCGGGGCTGTGCACGGTGGCAGCTGGGTAAACTGAGGGCACTGCAAAGACAATGCAGGGTCACCCGGTCTCTTCCCATGGCAGCGCAAGAGCACCCTCAAACAGACTATGACACTGGCGGGCGTTCCTCACCAATTTCAGGCGGACAGGACGGAACCCCGCATTTCGCAACACCGTGGCACGTTCCAGGACCCCCGAGGCCTCTCTGGGACACAGCCTAAGGCTTGGCGTTTCTTTTCAGGGAAGAAGCGTGGAGGACAGACGCAGGCCACATGGCTGCCGTGCCAGGACACCTTCAGGGTATCAAGGGCTATGGGAGAGGTGTCACCGCTGCTTTCCGTTTCCGTGAGCACAAAATCCCCATTGCTGCCCTTGGCAGTAGCCAGCAAGGACTTCCAAGCATCGGCTCAGGCAATAGGAACCTTACAGGGCGGGTGCTAACAGCCTTCGCAGAGGGAAGAAGACGGCACTGCAGGCACTCAGGCCGCCACACACAACTCTGGTTTCCACCACACACAACTCTGTCTGGTTTTCACTTTGAACCTGAGCCAGGGGAAGGAAATCCAAGTGAAGCATGCTATGGATCCCTGGGTGTATTTTTCTCCGGGCGTTGCCACAGGGAGAAGCCCCAAATCTTACTCAGCTTATGTCTAATAGGCACCGCCATTACTGGACTTCTCATTAGGCTTCTCGAGTTGAACAACGTCCTTGAGAAGCCGACACGGAGCTCTTATTTGAAAGATCAGAGACGCCGGGATCTATGCTCTGAAAACTTATGGCACAGGCTCACACTCTGCCAGCTGGTGCCCACGGCAGACGCTGCTAATGGATCACAGCACGCCGATAGACACGGCGTGTGCCTTCACGATCTAGGCATCACTAAATGACAGGCTCAGGGTTAGATACGCATCCAGACACTGTTGTGGTTTTATGCAATTCTCTACCAATGGGCATTGAAATGGTTGCTTTCAGTAAATAGATAATAATAATGAGAATAAAGGCAGTCAGATAAACTCTCACTAAACCCATCTATGGCTCCAGAGGCATCATTAAGTGTTATCTAAAAATAAAAACCCTGGGGTTCTAGAAACCCGTTGAAGCCACAAGGATGAGACAGGTTTACATAAGCCTTCTTGCCGCAGCAAACGGGCAGCTTCTTTTTGACTGCGGCAGTGGTCACACGAGCACCGTCAACTGTTACTTGATAGAAATAGTGGCACTGTGACACAGACCCTCACTCAGATGGATAACAAGAGTCGGTCCATGAGGTTACCATCAAGCTTACTGTTGCGGTCACCTGGAGTGCTGCAAACCTCAATGCCCGTCAGAGACCCAGGCAGAGGGATGAGAATTTCCCGTCCAAAACTGCATCAAGATACATGTCTTGGGCATCAAGGCGGGGAAATCCTATACGGAACTGGAAGAAAAAGGCTCGGTGGCTCCTGCCACCAACAAAAGTCTAGGCCAAGATGCTGCTTTTGGGGGCCGGCCGTCCAGAATACACTCACAGCTGCCTTTCAACGGGACTCATGAATGAGAGACGCCGATACGCGGTTCAGTCGGCAGTGCCAGCCCTTTACGTCTCTGAGCCCCCTGCTCCGTAACAATACCGTGTTCCACATCACGACGTGGGCTCACAGCAAAGTAACTGGTTCCGACAACTGGCAATCTCTCAAGGGCTTTTAGGAGCCTGCTTCGCTTTACACAGTTACGGTGAACGTCTTTAGAGTTTATTTAAAAACGCGCGTTAGGACATGAGAAAAAAAAAGTCCTTTGTCCTGGCTCAGCCTTCAGGAAGGTGAGCTGCCTTTAAATTCTAGTAGCAATCGTCAGCATGGGCATTTTCTGGTACAAATGCCTTCCTTTTGGGGGCTGGAGTGATGGCTCAGTGGTTAACACTGCCTGCTATTTGTCCACAGGACACAAGTTTGGTTCCCAGCACCTATATCTAGCAGCTCACAAGCATCTGTAACTAGTTCCAGGGGGATCCAACACTGTCTTCTGGACTCCAAGGACATACATGTGTAGACACACACGCACACACATAAATAAATACTTTCAGAAAGATTATAAAACGATTCTTTACTTTGGGCTGTTGTCCTTATACATTTTTAAAAGTAAGAAGTCTGTGTGTGTGACTTAATTTTAAGAATAATGAAACACGCTGGTGCATTCACAATGAGCCATGATCTTGATCGGTGCCTCTCCGGTGGTCACCCACAGGATAGAGCCACTAACCATAAAGCATTTTCCTTCTTATCCCCAGACTGGGAAGTTACACAGAGCAATAGGCTAAACGCATTTCCACCGCTGCTCTCCCTGTTGCTGCTCTCCAGAGCAGCTGAGTCTGCGCAGCCTCCCACCAAGTGCTGCCCCAACCGGCACGGAGACTGAAAGAAATGTCAAGCCTGCATCTCCAAAGACTCGGCACCTACAACAACCCACCATCAATGACCAGCACAAACTGCGCTTTTCAAGGCACGTGAGTACAGTTTGGACGCCCCCCTTCCCTCCCCAATTTCCTTTAATCTGTTCCTCCGTCACTTCCAGAGCCTTCAAGAAAAGAAAACGTCCTCGATGACTTCCTTCTAAGTCAGCTCTGACCCACGCTGAGATACGTTATTCATCAGAAAACGCGTCTTGTGTGCCTCCTCTACGTGTGTGAGCGGGTATGCGGTGGGCGACAGAGCAGGGTCCCTTCCTGGGGGAGTGTTAGTCTGCACAGGGCATCTACCCCTTTCTCAGGGTAAGCTGTAAAGTCACACTTGGGAAGTCACCTGCTCTGCAAGATGCCAGGACCACAATGATCCCTGAAGGCTGCAATAAGCCATGTCCCGCTGCTGAATGAATGCTAACCAGGTGAGAACTGTCACAGCCAGTCTGTAGAACTCCACGGTCTTCTCAGTTACCGTTCTCCTTGATTACGGGAGCTTGATGCATCTACCACACCCACCCAAGACCCTCAGTACTCACTTGTGGACTCCAGGCGCTTGACATCCCTCGACGTTTCTAAGAAATATCTCCGCAGAACCAAGAAGATGATGGCGAGCGGGACCAAGGGTATTATAATCCAAGGAATCACTGCAGCCGCCACAGCTATCACGCTGACTACGAGTAACAGAGTCTAGAACAGCAAACACAGAGACAGGCAGGGCCTCCTTAGCAAGAATCTTTGCTTTTCAAAATGAAACCTCACTGGAGCCGGAGAGACTCCTTCCCCACCCAGGAAGTAAGAGAAGCATGGTCCTGATGCTACTAGTAACACACTACTAACACGACACCCTCATTAGCACAGCCAACCAAGCAGGGAACCTGTCCAGACTCCCCAACAACTAAGCTAAAAGCTTGGCATGGCCATGAATACCTATAAGCCCAGGGCTACCTAGAGGGGTGGATTCCTGGGGTTAGCTTAATCAGTGTGAGTTCCAGGTTCAATGGGATACTTAGTCTCTAAAAATTAGGTGGTAAGTGATTGATGAAGAAGCCTGATTAGACTCCTGGTCTGCACACACGCGCGCGCGCACACACACACACACACACACACACACACACACACACACACACACACGTGGGGGGGGACCCAAAGATTAACATTGAAATTAAATATGTAAATACACTCCTATTCTTCATTATTTTCTTGTAGTTCAAATTCTAGTTGGCCTTAATAATAAAAACCCCAGTTAGTGCTGAAGGATCAGAGAAGCAGAGCAGCCAGTCACTAGTTTTTACCTCTACTGAATCCTCTGAGCTCCTGTCTCCTCCCGCCTTACAGTCCTCTCTCCGCACAGCCAATCACTCCTGTCTCCACCTCCCTAGTGCTGGGATTAGAGGTGTGAGCCACCACTGCCTGACTCTCTTTCATCTCGTGTAGCCCAGGGTGGCCTTGAACCGACAGAGATCCGCCCGCCTCTGTCTCCCGAGTGCTGAGATTAGAGGTGTGCACCACCGCTGCTACGGCTCACTAGTGGCTAGGTCCGCATCTGATCTTCATGCAAGCTTTGTCTGTTAAAGCACCAACAAATACCCCTTTATCAGCATTCCTAAACTTCACTGGGTTTCTTACGGTTACATCAGCCTCCTCCATGACGACTGGCCCTCGGCCCCGGCCGATAGAGAATAGCATCCTGTCCAGCTCAGGAAACAGGGCGAAAGTCTAAAAAGTTCAAAGGTGCTTGCCAACATAGTACACCAATTCTTGCTAACTGGGCAAATGTTCTTTTAAGTTAGAATATGAAATTGTATAGGAAAAAATTACCTTTAATCCTCCAAAGTGGCTTACAGAAAAAAAGGAGAAAACTTAATTCTACCAAAATATGTAAAATCTTAGAACACAAAATGAAAGTTGGCTATTTTACATTTTGTGTACCTCTACGTGAACGGCGGTAAATCCCACCAAATCTCCTCAGTAGGATTTACTTTAAGATTGTGTTCGGTAACACTTAACAGTAAACTCAACCCTGGGGAGGCCGGGACAGGAGGAATTCCGTGAGTCTGAGGCCAGCCTAGGCTATATAGATCCTGCCTCTAAAAGCAAATGAATAAAACTAGAACAAAACACACAAGAGTTTCCCTTAGAATAAATATTGTATTCTAATAATACAGATTTTAAAACCATTCTCTTCACAGTAACAATTTTAAATACAAGGACCCGCTTGGGTTTTTGGAACCTATCTTCCCAACTGCTTTTAGTTCTGGGGCTGTTCCTAAGCATCTACCCACAGTTTGCTCTAAACTTAACTCCACGGGGTTCTGTTGCTGCTGGTCTATAGGATGCCTGTGCCAAACAGTAAGTTTCCTATAAACAGTCGTAAAAATGCAGTCTGCTTATCTGAGCCATCATGCCCATCTATACCTCTGGCTCCCTCCATCCCTTACTTGAACGCTGTCTCATACCTGTCTCACGCACAGAGTAAACAAGACATGTTTACTCATAATGCTACTCAGCCAGTACACGGTACTTTTCACTATTTGTTTACCGCCTTAAAAATAAAGCCAGGCTCAAATCGCTCGCATGCCAGTGCAACTGGAGAGCTTTGAATTCTGCTGTCAGCTCGACGGCAGAATCTGTCCTGAGCTGCCATGAGTGTACGCTGCCTGGACTGTCTTCCGCTCTCGTGATTCTGGGGGACAAGTCTCAAGTGCAGTCAGCAAGGCAGGCTTCACTTCTTGGCAAGATTTCCCCCTGATTCAGCAAGGGGGAAAACGATGGCCGGGCTTTGATCACTCAGCTGTTCACTGATGTATGCATAAAAGGGACTCTGTACTATTTTGGGAGCATGTGAGATAAAGGAAATTGATTTCTGAGTGAAAAGAAAGAGAGAGAGAGAGAGAGAGAGAGAGAGAGAGAGAGAGAGAGAGAGAGAGAGAGAGAGAGAGAGAGAGAGAGAGAAACCAGATTGTGTTGCTGGGTAATACAGGATTCTCAAAGAAGTAGTAAAAGTTTGAAAAACACATAGACCCTGAAAAGTAATAAGAAATAAACATGTAATTCAGATTATCTGTCAGATTAGATTCATCACCCTCCAGTTACAGGACGTGTTCAAGCAAAGGGGAGGTTCTAAGAGCTTCACACATAAGTGCCTACGTCTTCAAAGCTGTGTCTGAATTCCAACCACAGGCACAAGTACATGCAACCCGTGTGCCACGGAGTTCAGAGGCTGGGTCCAGTCTCCAGGTCACTACAGAACCCATGTTGGGGTCTCTTTAACACCTGCGTCCTGACTTCTGCGAAGGCCAACCTTTACAGCACATTGGCAGGCATGATGTGTCTGTGGCATTCTCCATTACCCGTTCTAAGACGAAGCTTTTAAGTTTGCAGACAGTCATTGCTCAGTCCACTTGCTATCTGGCTGGTGTGACCCGCAGCTCTGGGCCCTGTGTTACTGGTCTGTTAGCTCTGTACTCTAAGTCAAAGCTAACAGCATTGGCGAGAATGGCTTGTGGGGCTGGGCTGCAATCTGTTTACTGACGATGACCTTTCCCAGTGTTGATGCTTATGTAAAAACAAGGCTTCAACTTGCAAATTACACCTTGGATACAAGTTAAAATAAGGTTTTATATATAATGGTAAACATGCTGAGAAAAAAAGACTGTCACTACCACTGTGAACACGGAAGCTTTTAATTCAAGATCCCATAAAGGAAAAGTATTCCATCAGGAAACCATAAAGGTCAGGGGCTGGAGAGATGGCTGGGGGGGGGGGGGGATTAAGCGCACTTCCTGCTCTCAGAGAGGACTGCAGTTTGGTTTCCAGAAACCTGCTTGAGCCTCCTGCAACTCTAGCTCCAGGCGATTTGATGCCCCCTTCTGGTCTCCACAGGCACCTGCACCTACATGCGCTTAGACACCCATCGACACAAATACATATAAAAAACAAGTCTTACAAACAAAAAAGAAGAAAAGCTTGGGCAAATTACCCAGGAGATAAACACAAATCAATTTACACAAACCTAGAAGCAGCTTCAGAATGCGGAAGCAAAATCTGACAGTATTTAGAAGAAACAGAAAAACCCAGACACACAAAATTAAGACACATTTATTTCAACAACAAATAGAACAAATCAACGACAACAAAAATCAGTGGAAACACCAGAGTCTGTGACGACCAATGGCTAGGATGCCACGACCAGTTCTTTTCAAGTACAAACCTGCCACCAAGCATGCACCACGGACCTCAATGACAAGGCTGCTGCAGACCTGCATCTGACTTTATCGGACAAACAACACAAAAGCAAGGTGACCAGCAGGAGGCCCCACTGTGCAGGCTCTAAATAATACCAGCTGTACAGAGACACAGTAAAAAGGAGAGTCCTTTGAAAACAAGGTGAGAACGAGGCACTGTCAAAATCTGAAAGCTGCAGCTAATGCTACCTTTGGAGGTAAATGCATAGCTTTAGCCTTTTTTTCTCTCTTCTTAGTAAGAAGGAACTCTAAATACCAAAAACTAGATCTTAAGACAGAAAGGAGGGTGGGGAAATGGCCCAGTGGTTAGCAGCACCTTACTGCTTTTGGAGGACCACGGTGCAATTCCCATCACCCCCACATAGTGGCTCCCCACCTTCCATAATGCCACGTGACACCTACTTCTGACCTCTCCAGGCATCAAGAACACAACTGATGCATAAGTGTAGGCAAGACACTCGTACACGTAAGAGAGAGACAGATAAACTAAAGGTATTTCAAAAGAAGACGTGAAAACAAATGAGTAGCAACGACAGGAAAAAGAAAAAAAAATAAAAGGCCACACACAGTACCACAGGCCTGTAAGGACAGACAGACACAGGCGGACTGCTACAAGTTCGGGGCCAGCTTGATCCACATAGGGAGCCCCAGGCCAATCAAGTGAGAAGCTATTTAAAAGAAAATAGCAACAACAAAAAAGACAGAAAAATAAGAACATAAAAGAGAATGGAAACATTTTAATGATATAGGAAAAAAAACCTTTGGTCTTTCAAAACACTAATGACATTAATCGCCCCCAAAGCTGTCAAGACTGAATTTGGACACCCAGAAAATCGCCCATCAGATGCCAGAGACTGGGAGACAAGCAAGTTATGAAACCCTGAAGCAGGAGAAACTCCAAGACAGTACTTAGGATGGCGAACCATGTCCCAGATGGAATTAAAAAGACACACCAAACATACAATGGAAGGTGGGGGGGGGCAGTTAGACGGCTAACTCGTGGCGAGACGTATGTGGCCAAGCCTGACATGGTGAGGTTAATCTCTGGGACGTACATGGTGGAAGAAAGAACTGTCTCCCGTGCGTCCCTCTGACCAACGTGCTTGAGCACGGACACACATGCAATAAACAAGTGTAAAAGATTATAAAATAGACAGCGCGATTTTAGTAAAACAGAAACGAGCTCACTAGACCGACCTTTTCATATCTCACTCTGAGAATTAACCAGAGGGGGAAAAAGATAGGCAGATATTAATACAAGCAAGAACAGAGGCATGCGTTGGCCTCCATTTAGGTGAATAGGTAGCCGACTTCCTCTCCACACTCTATGCCTATCTAGGATGGCTGTGTGTCTAAGACTCCGGAGCCGAGAGGGCACAGTGAACCACCTCTACGGGCTGGCCACACCCACCATCCAGCAACGCTAGGGTGCAGAGTTCTCTG